AGGAATAAAGTTATATTAGCTGAGAAAAACTGGAAACACAATTTATAGTATGTGCTGGGAAATCAAAACTGCTATAAACAAAATCTCCAGGATGGTACGTTTTTGAGTATAACAAGATCCAGCCACCTCTGATCAGGCTGATGAGTTTGGAACTGCATCTAAAGATCTTTAGCATTCTACCTAACAGAAACGGACAGTTACATGATTTCCTACAATACCATCTCTCCAAACTACTAGAACATCTGATTTTTTTTTATAACCTCAAATAACTCCTTAGATCCAGAGCTACAGAATCTAAGGTCATAGGATTTTATCATTGGTTATGATGACGAATAAGATTTGGCATTTGGACTTGAGGGGAAGGAACACTTATAAGGCTGTGTACATTCCAAGTGTCAGAAAGTCAAAACAGGCCCTTCTATTAATGCTGACACGGCCATATTACTGTCCCGCAAATAAACATAGCAAGCACCTTTAGAGCAATATCTGAACATTATTTTAATTCTTTACATACAATTTTTACAATTTTTAATCACTGCTCTGTCATATACAATGATAAAAGAGCATGTCTCAGAATGAGTTGAGTCTCTTTCAAAAATACTTTGTAAACAATGTCACAGAAAAATGAGATAGTCTAGGGCTAAAAACAAACAAACAAACAAAATCCAAACCAAAAGCAGAAAAACAAAACACAAAAATAAAATTAGTTGAGAAAACCTGGAAACACAATTTATAATATATACTGGGAAATCAAAACTATTAATAAAATCTCTAGGATGATACATTTTTGAGAAGCAGAAAAGAGCATTTTGGTGAGTCCACAATAATAAATCCTTCCATCAAAACGAACAATGACATTACTCAGCAAATCTAGTTGGCCCTAATTATTTCCAACAACCTGGAAATTTCTACCTTTAAATAAAATACCCAAAGCTTCTAACTGCCACAACATTTTATCTTTATAGTCACTCACAAGGAGATACAGACCATAGTAAAAATTCACAATGAGGGTTATTTGACTAAGAAGGAATACAAAAATCTTGGAAACATAAGAGCCCAAAGGTTTAATCTACATAAATGCTCATCTGTGGACCGTTACGGCGTTCCTCTGATTGTGACCCTTTCCTCAGGAAGCCAACCTCCCAGAGTCAAGGAGAATCCTGCAGAAGGACAAGTTTAATGATGACCATGGATTTGTGCCGTGTTTGGGGAGTAGGCGGAGCTTCCCCAGTGGGGCTCCAGGGGCCTCAGGGCCAGACCTGGTAATACTTGGCCAACTGGGCAAGCATCAGAAGCCGATGACCATGGATTCTTAAAAAAAAGAAGGGAGGGGCTGGAGTGGTAACACAGTGGGCAGGGCGTCTGCCTTGCACACGGCCCACCTGGGTTCAATTCCCAGCATCCCATATGGTCTCCCAAGGAGTAATCCTGGTTGCAGAGCCAGGAGTATTACCCCTGTGCATTGCTGGGTGTGACCCAAAAGGGGGGAGGAAAAAAGGGATAGGCAGAAATACCAAACTGAATGACAGTTTCAAGTGCAAAATGTGATGAAAAATACAATTTTTTACTGCTCTGCCTCATTCAGTCAGCTAAGAAGCTAACTCAGAAAATAAAGGAATCACAATTATCCAATAAAATTCCCACGGTGTAAAGAATAATTATAGGGTAACTTCCTAATGCAATTATCAAAAAAACAGTGAAGAAGAGGAATATACTCTTTCCTAAGTGCTTTCTGATCCATTAAGCACCATTATTAATATCTCACTAAATGACTGAGTGCCTCAAACTGGTGTTTGGAGGTTAGATTTAAAAACTCTCTTATTACATAAACTTCTGGTAATCGATCTCCAAATAATACTTTCAAGGAATAGATTCATGGAAGGATAAGATATTTGATATACGTATTTCACCCAATAATACAATCTTTCTTTTTGGGGGGTGGGGGATGGGGTGGGGTGGCACGCCTATCGATATTTAGTGCTTACTCCGGGCAGAGCTCAGGGCATCGTATTAGGTGCCAGGGACACTATCCCAGCCTCCAGTTTTATAATCTTACACAAATCACTGAGCTATGAAACTGACACATTTATGATAGATCAGTGAATTCACTTTCTCACTTAAAAAAAATTATTTTCTACTTATTAGAAGTAAGCAGATTTCAGCCTAAATGAAAACCCCCACCAGGTCTAAAGATAGGATCTTTAAACCTTCAGTGCTTCCTGTCCTTCCTGTTCAACACAGTTGGGCACCCAAGTCTGGATTCCTTTACTTGAAGCCGATGAATAAACGTATTTGAATTAATCATGCTGGCCACATGAGGTCTCTGCTATTCCACAAAATACGGGAAAAGAACACATTTTTTTCAAATCAGATCATTTCCCAAAAGTGCAGCACAGAAAATCATGTTCAACAGGCAGTATACTTCTGGTTGAAAGGGTGTATTCTGCTAGGAAAAACAGAAATGGGAATGAAACTGAAGGAATGGCAGCTCACTAACTAATGCTCCGGCCCTGTGTTCCGGTCCAGGACTCACTAAACGAGAATGAATTTTTTAAGCAGCAAAAGACATACACCTGGCTTCCTTAACTGCGCTTGAATCCCAAAGGGGCACCTTAGATGGGAATGTGCTCTGGGATTCCAGAGGCTCCTCATCATAGAAGCAAATCTCCCACGTGGCAGGCTGTGAAACGGGAGCAAGGTATGCATGGGAGGAAGCCTGGCCCCTCCCTTGGTCACGGCCAGGACTACCCCGTGGGGATTCGAGTAAAGAGCCTCCTCGGTACGGCCCATCTCCCTTAAGAAACGCTGAGATGTTTGCTATGGTTCAACCCCACTGAAACATTTCAGTGAAAAATCAATTCTGCAGAGTTTCACCTCAATGGACACAGAAGAAAAATCAGAAGAGCGTATTTCACAGAAACAACTAGAGTCAGGATGGAGGATGACAAAAGCAGACAAAATCACTGCTATTAAGAACTGAGCTTATATAGAATAAAGAGATGGATTAAAAAAAGGAAAGAGAAAAAAAAGACAACCACGGAAGGGGAAACAGAAAAAGCACCACCAAAAAAAAAAAAGTGATGGAGGGCAGCAGAATTTAATGTTTTCAAAGTGACAGGATTCACAGTAGGCAAAACCATACATAAGGTTCTTGGCTTGGGGCACAGGGGTTGCTCCCAGATGTCCTGGGGACCCTGTGGTCCTAGGGATTGATGCTGTGGCTCCAGCAAGCCAAGCATGAGTGTCAGCCCTCTGAGCTGTCTCCCCAACCCCAGAGAGAAGATTTTAAATTTAGAAACTTATCCAAGTCAAATTCTTCCCTTCCAAGTCTGATTTGTACCAGTTTCCTCAAAATGAGATTTGCTAAGCTCAAATATTGGTGATACTTGTCTTTTGTTCTTGGCTGTCTACTCAGGGGAATCATTTTATGAAACTGTACAAGCATGTAAGTGGATTTTTTGTCTCCTCCCCTGTAAAGATAACGGCTATCTGCAGCTTACCCGTTTGGTACTTTGGAATTAGAAGCACTACTTTCCATCACAAGGTAAGATACAGATCTCACTGTTTAACAAACCGCTACTGCTTTGGCTACCTGGAGAGCCATGGAGTCCAAGATTCAAGTCTAGAACAAGGGAAAATATACTCTGTCCATCTCCACACGAAGTCAAACGATGCCACAGACAGAGCCAAAAGGATCTCAAAGTCTCATTCCCACACGTGAGACTTTTTTGAAAGTGCACTCAATTTCTTCTTTCTTTGGTGAGGCCAAAACTTGCTAATTAGGGACACACTCAATTCCCTAAAGCCATTCATTTTTAGGAACCTCTGGATGGATGGGCAATTCTTCTAGTGAGTCTACTTTCCAAATGCTGGATATCAGTTACATATAGCAATTTTATGAGCAAATACAAGAGCTGGTCCGGTGTAATTTCTTCTATTTCATTCCACAGCATCTAAGTTATAGGAAAATACATACTCCTATTCTCCCCCCAAACCCCCACACACCCAAGTGGAAAAGCCCATTTGCTATAATTTCCTTTAGTTTAATGGACCCCCCTCCCCCCATTACTTTTCTTTTTCCCTATTTAACAAAGAATGGTCCGTGTGCTTAATCCATTGGCTATCAGATGGATTCTGGTGAACAACTACGGGCTACTACACTTGAAAAAATCAGTACAAAGAAGCAGATGGAGGGAGCCAACATATCTGGAAATAAAAGTGTCGCCGTGGAAACCCGCCCTCTCAAATGAATGCCAGAGAGAGCATGGGAGGGTCAGTAGCCCTCTGCCACTGAACCAGAGGAGAATCCTTTAAGCCCCAGACCGCTCCAAGATATGCATAAACGTTTAAGTACTACTAGAAGCCTCCTGCTGGCAAAGTTTTGAATGGCTCTTGGAAATTTGAATTGTACTCGTCTTTTAAGGTTTAAGGTTTCTGTGACTCAAAGCTATCGAAATATCCACTATAAAATATATCATTATAGAAATATTATATACCAATCTCAGATAAGGGCCTGAACTGATCTGGGGTTTTGCTTTTTTAGCTTTATGACAAGGAGTGCAAAGTTAAGCCTCCAACTTCTCCTAGTGTTTAATGTAATACGAGACTCTAGTCAACAGAGACACACAGAGATATATACATACATACACACATATATATATATATATCTCACCTTAACATACATCAATTGTTGTACAGAACTATATACTGTAAGAATGAAGCGGAGAGGTAAACAAACAACACCACGCACAAGCAGCTGTGTGATGTGAGGTAAGGAGAGGCGGGAAGGAAAGCACGAGAAGCAAGGCCAGGAAACCCAACAACAAAACCCCAATTCTTGCGGCAGCGAGTCTGGAAGCAGTGTCTCTTTGCCCCAATTTTTAAAAACAACAACAACAAAAGTTGGGGACAAAGAAATCCTACCTGATTTTCTTTTTTCCTTTTTTTTTTTAAATACGCATTACTTAGAAGTTAAAGAAAAAAAATAATATGTGTATATATTTAAATGGAAAGTAAACCAATTTCATTTTATTAGCCTAATTTAAGAATGGGGTGAGGAGAATGGGGTTGAGATCGGGTATGAAGGAAGAGGGTTTAGAACTCGTGACAATGAAGATCCCTTCACACCCCCGGCGCAGTGCTCGCGGCGGCCTGAGTGCTGGTCAGCCAGAGCCCGCACCCAAACACTGCCGGCAGGGTCCTGCTCTTCACGTCCATCTAGTGACTCCAGTGTTCTCCGTCACAGAGTGATGAGATCTACCAAGTTGCCCTTAGGAGGAGTCATGCTGTCAGGAAAGAAATTGACTAAGGTGTCAAAGAGCTGAGTTCTTTGGGCATAGGTGTGATCCACGTCCGAGAAGCCTGGGGAAGGAGACATACAGAGAGAACTCATGCACGGGAAGAGCTCGTTGAGAAACGCAGTGCTGCAGAACAGAAAAACTCGACCGGCCGTAAAAACCACAGAGGCACCCACTCTCTGCCACTCCCCCCTCAAACAGTGGTGTGACCTTCTGGTGAATTAATCAGCTTTTCTGCACCTGTTTCCTCGGCTGTAAATCAGTGTCACGGAGTTATTGTGCAAATTACAGGGAACAAAGCAAAAGCACCTAGTGAGATTAGCACACACCGATTTCGGCTCTTTTCCTCACATGCATTTCCTTTCTAGTTCACTGAGGAAACTTCACTCTTGTTTGTTGTTTGTTTCTGGCCCACTCGCGGCTTACTCCTGGCTCTGTGCTCAGGGGTCACTGCTGGTGGTCCTCAGGGGACCTAAGGTTGGGGATTGAGCTTGGGTCAGCCGGATACAAGGCATTACATCCTGTACTATCGCTCTGCCCATTGCCCCAATGAAGCCTTTTGTCAATTATTAAAAAAGAATATATATAAAACTAATAAAAAAAATCACCCAAGGCCCCATGAGCTGAAAGTATCTCAGAGAACTGAGTAAAACAAATACTGGGGAAAGAAGCCCATGACGTGACACCTGGTGAGTCCCACACTTATGACACTGGGTACCAGGAGCTCCACCAGCTGCAGAGAATGACTCTAATCCAGGGAACAGTGGAAAGCAGATGACACTCAAACTCAGGGGAGGAGGGGCCTGAGCCACAGGATTTTTCCTCTTTCGACCTCTAGCAAAATGCCTTTCTTCTAGTCAGCTGAGGTACTGCTTCCAGAGGCTCTATACAATTTCCAGTCGAAAAGCGGCCAGTTTTGTCTTGATTTCCTCCTTTCCAGAAAGGGCCTACCAAGGCAAGGCTGCCTCTGTGAGTGCCATCAGAAATAAATGCAGCAGGCCAGAGAGATAGTCCAGGGGTTAAGGCTTTTGCCCTGCATATGGCTGACCACACGGTCCCCTGAGGTACTGCCAGGAGTGATTCCCCAAGCACTGAAGAGTTATAGAGGCCAGTGCTGGGCCTGAGCACAGAGCCCACCATGCTAGTGGAGTAGTGCCTAGGAGTCACACACACACACACACACACACACACACACACACACACACACACACACACACCATGCTCTATACAGATTTCCAGTCTAAAAATGGCGAGTTTTGCCAGTTATGTGTGTATATATATAGGGCCAGAGAACTAGAACTACCTTATAGAAGGTAAGGCACTTGTCTTGTATGCAGGTAATCTGGGTTCAATCCCCGGCATGCCATCTGATTCCCTGAGGCCACCAGGACTGACTCTTGAGCACAGAGTCAGGAGTAAGGCCTGAGCACTGCTGGTGTGGCCCAAAACACAAAAACCAGCATTTAACTAGGCCATGATACTCCATGCAAGGACTATTTCAAAGTGAATTTTCATTCAATTTATACAGTTTTCCATGCAATCTGTTTGTTTCTTTAATCTTGTGACGAACATGAATAGAACATAACATTGCCAAGGATACCAGATTTTTTGGAATAAAAAGAAAAATATTCTTTTAATTTTTTTAATTAAGAAAAAGGTCTGGAGCCAGGAGACAGCTTAAAATGCTGGGGCTCCTGGTTCAGCCCACTGCACTACCTGATTCCTTGAGCTTCAGTGGGAGTGGTCCCTCAGGGAGGGAGGGAGGGAGGGAAGGAGGAAGGAACTTACAAAGCTTACTATCCCAGGGACTAGAGCAATAGCACAGCAGGTAGGGTGTTTGCCTTGCAGGCGGCCAATCGGGGTTCAATTCCCAGCATCCTATGTGGTCCCCCGAGCACCGCCAGGAGTAATTCCTGAGTGCATGAGCCAGGAGTAAGCTCTGTGCATCGCTGGGTGTGACCCCCCTCCCCCCAAAAAAAGCTTACTATCCCATCACAAAAATAGATGGAAGGAAATATTCCAAAATAGTAACAAGGCTATCTCTGATTGGTGAGATTAAAATTTAACACCTACCCCAATTCTGCCCTTTCTCTAAAGCTGCTTAAGGCAGCTTTTTCTTTTGGGGTCAGACCCAGCAGTACTCAGGTCAACTTATTTATTTCAAACTCACAGAAAATTTCAGGAGTAGTACAATGAAAACTCATATGCCCTTATCTGGAATAATCAGTTGCAAACACTTTTCCACATCTGTTTGTGTGTGCATGTACCCCAGTCATGTTGTTTTTGCTATACTATTTGGTGATAAATGGTAGGCATCTTTACCCCCAAGTACTTGAATTTGAGATATTTCACCTAAGAACAAGAATATTCACTTATGTATGTGTGTATGTGTATGTATGTGTGTGTTTAGACATATGTAAATATACAAATTTTAGGAAATTTATAATTTATGCCTGAATAATAGTGATTTCCCACACTAATCTAATGCTCAGTGCAAGATCAAATATTGCATTTAGTTTTTAAGTGAAAAACCAATTCCCAGCAACATCATACTCACAAATGTGTTCTAGCGCAGCTGGCCCTAAATTCAATGTTAATGAACCAATAATATAAATACATAAATGCTCTTTAAATAGAAGCTTATCAGTCAAGCTCACAGAAACAGCTTTGTAGTCCCTGTGTTCTGCATGAAGTTATGGACATAAGAGAGTAAATAACAAGAATCCACTGTATCAGGCCTGCAGTGATGGTTTGGCGAGGAGGGCATTTGCCTTGCACATGGCTGATTCGGGTTCAATCCCTGGCATTCCATATGGTGTCCCGAGCCCTGCCAGGAGTGACCCCTAAGTGCAGAGTCAGAAGTAAAAACCCTGATCACTGCCGGGTGTGGCCCCCAAACAAAATGAAAAATCTACTGTATCTTGTAATCTGTGTACGCGTATGTGTCAAGATCTCCCAGGCTACATTTGAAGGGGAAGACTGAGGGACGGTGTTAAAGGATACTCTCAAGCATTATCTGTAGTCCATTAAAAACAGACAAATACTAAGAATAGGGGGTGGAACTCCAGGAATCCCGGCAAGAAGAAACTAACACTTCAACTGCAGAACCAGGAGAAAGGTTTATTGATGCTGAATCTCGCTCTTAATCATTGTTTCTCTTACTTGATTCTCAACAACAGAAAAAAAAGCTAATTACTCGAGGGTAGTAGAAACTGGGAAAGCTCAGTGAGGACGGTGGTTTAGAGAGTGAGCTCAAAGCCTTTTAGAAGGCCACCTACCAAATCACACTAAATCAGTGTCCTGTTTCCTGAGGAATGGGCAAACCTCTATTTAATTCTCATTAAGAGCCAGAGAGTTTGGCTGGGACAAAACTTTTTTAGAGAATTTAGAAAATGACAGCAGGTCTTCAAACAATGTCATTTCAACATGACAATGACATGGGAAAACAAACAAAGCATCCTGGCTGACACTGATCAAAATGCTATCATTTATTCAAGGGTGTACTTTCCATGAATGTGGTTTTACTTAAATCCACCATTTCCAAGAACCTCTTCAGTGAGGTGGAGGACTGACTTTACTTATATACATCAAACAACCCACTTACTTTCGATTCTATGTGGAGTTGGGATAAAATAATCTGATAGAAAATGAAGGAGAACAAGAACCAGGGACTCTTGAGTTGGCATGGAAACGTATAAAATGTACCGTTTGTTTCTACACTAGCCATCAAGTTTCCACTTATTAAGATCAGCGTAAAAACTTGAATTTGCTCCACATCCAAACTCACCCATGTCCCAGTGAAGACTATGCTTTTAAGAGAGGGAATCACAGTAGCCCCCTGACTTGGGTTATTAGTTATTAAAACACCAAAGGAGCGCTTCCATATTACTTCACTGAATTCTTGCAGCACTGAGGCCAGTGCTCTCACGAGCACAGAGGGGGAACTAGTGATCAGAAAGGTAACGCAAAGCCAGCCAGTGGCATCGCTGGGCCCAGTGCCGAATCTGACTCTGACCCAGTGGGCCGTGAGGCTCCTCCTCCTTTCGCGCTCCCTCTTGGGGGCTTCCTACAGCGTTCGCATGGCTCAATGTGCCTGAGAGCTGTGTACAGCCCAACAAAACAAACTGTTCCTGATAAAACACAGTAGCTGGCAGAGACTTGAGCAGAGACAGAAGGAAGGAGTTAAGCTAAAGGTAAAAATATTTGCCGACACCAGCCTACCATACTGAAATGACTGCCAAGAAATTCTTGTTCTCAAGGCTAAATATAAGTCAGCCAGAGACATTTCAGCGCTGCCCACCAGCACAACAGAAATAACGGCGCGGGCTGATGGGATCAATGCAGCACACAGTACATACTCATTCGAACATGGCAGGCTCCTCAGCACATCCCAGAGATTATTGTTTTGGATGATGAAACTCAAAAGGATACGAAGTTTGGAAGTTAGTGCTCATTCCTAGAGTCCCCACCACAAGGCTGAAGTATTCCTTTCTCCCTCCTCTTAATTCTATTAAGAAGAGAATTTATTTTGTTTTGGTTTTGGGCCACACCCTACCCAGTTGGACTCAGGAATCACTCCAGGGCTCAGGGGACCATATGGGGTGCCAAGGGTCAATCATGGGTCAGCCACGTGCAAGACAAGCACTCTATTCGCTGTGCTATGGCTCTGGCAGAGACTAGAGCAGAGACAGAAAAAAGGAGTTAATTAAAAAATATTTTGGGGGGTCTTGGGGTCATACCCAGCAGTGCTCAGGGGTTACCCCAGGCTTTGTGCTCAGGAGATCACATGCAGGGATCAAGCCAGTGCTAATGTAAGGCAAGTCACATGCCTTCTGTGCTATTTCTCTGTCACCTCCTTTTCTGTTTTTCTTTTTATTACTGGTTATCAATAGGGGACTGCAATTTCTAACAGCCTAGAAATATATTTTTTTAAGTCTCTGAGTAAATAGATTAGTAGTAAACAATTATCTAAATTTCTAATGGGAACCTTCTGGAATTATATTGTATGTGAGTCCACAGAGCCTTGCCCTGCGGAATTCTAATATTCTGGAATTAAAAACTCAGGACTGAATTGTATTAATCAGATAGAAGGCTTAATGACTGGTTATGGAAAATGAAAAAGCAAGACACCAAGAATACTGTTATTCTTTCCCATCCCTATAAGAAAACATCAGATTTTACAATGTTGGTTTTTGCTCTGAGGTATGGTTTAACATTAATGAGCAAAATGAGGAACACAATGAAAAAATTAAACAGATACCCAGAAGTGACATTTTATCCCAAAGAAATAGTATCCATAATACACACTGAAAATATTCATTTTTTAGTGTATAATATGGATACTATTTTTTTCAAACAAATATTCTGTAGTGAAATACTTCTCAGACAAATATTAATAGTGCAAGCATCAATGAGATTAACATGCATTCATTTTGTGGCTCTTTATAAAGACAAGAGGAAAGCTGGAACTGACCACAATTCATTGGTCTATTATCTTGTTGGAAAACTGAAGTTGTGATCAAGTCTCATTCTAAGTTCCTTGAAGAATCACCTGATGAAAGCTACGGGTTCTAGAACTTCACAGAGGGTCTATGAATTTAATAACTCTGCCTACTTCATTATCATTCTTGTAACATCACACAATTTCACAAAAATACGAGAGGAAAACAATTTCAGTAACAAACATTTTTTCACAGTAAGTGTAACAGCAACATAGCCTATATTCTAAAACAATGTTATACAATTTAATTTTGATTGTGCTTCATTGCTATCTGCTTGTATAAGTCAGCAACTATATGAACTACAGACAAGGTGATTCATCTATTAGTGATTAATGCTTGGGAAATTCCCTGCAGGTCAATAAGAATTTTGTATGCTACTTTGAGACACTTGTTTCATTTATTTATATGAATGTCTCATTTACTTCTTCATTTAAAAGAAAGCAAAATCCCAGGGCATTTGGATGGAGAAGTTACATCAAAATACTTACCAAGAGCCGTAAAATCTGAACCCGATTTGAATAGAGCTGAAGCCAGGAGCTGAAACTATACAAGAAACAAATCAAATTAGCTTCCTAAGTTCATTGGAGAAAAACAACCTGTATATTTTTGATAATCTATCAGATACTGCATGTTACGCAGCACCTTTTACATAAGTTACAAATACTGACAATTATAACAACACGTTTAGAGAAAAGAATATGCGAACTTTTAAAAACTGGGCTAAAATTGTTATTGTTCAAAATACTGCACGAAGTATTAAAATTATTACTTTTTAATTATGAACATATATATCAAGGAACAACAGGTCAACTGAAATTAAAAAAGAAAATGACTCTTTTTTTTTTTTTAAATACCTGGCAGTGCTCATGTCTTAGTAGTACTGGGGAGCAAATTCAGGTCAGCCATGTGCGAGGCAAGCGCTCTGTCTGCTATACTAGTTCTTTAGTCTGAAAATTAGGGAGGATTGGTGTACTGGAAACAGCTACTGAATTTTTAGTTTATATGCATTCTCACTACAAAAATACATAGTATTCTAAAGTATCACTGGCATTAAAAATCAAATTGGGGGGAAAAAACGTCATGATTATAATGTACAGGTCATTTCTTTCCTTTTCTTTTTTTTTTTTTTTTGACACAGTTTTGTTTGTTCATTTGTCCTCTATTTTTAAAAAGAGACCTACCACCTAGATAGGCCATTTCTAAATTACATCTTAGACTGACATTCTACAATCATGTATAATTATATTGTTACATAAGCCCTTAAAAACCTTTTCAAGGTCAGAAATTCTTCTAGAACTTACTAAGCAAGGGATAGGGAAAAAGAGACTACAGGAAGAATTTAAAGCGCATCATGGGCTCTGGTTACCAGTCCTCTTTGTCAGAGAGATCAGCCGAAAATATTACACTAGCCTGTGTTGTCTCTATTATCTTGTCCTTTATTTTTGGTGGCGTTGGGATCAAGCCTCACACATGAGGCACATGCTCTTCCACTAAGCTACCAGGCTTTCAGTCAATACAATTTCTCGGTTCCTTTCTTTTGTTGTTTTTAGGCCACACCCCATGAGTCAGGGAGCTACACCCAGTTTGCTGCAGGTTTGTTCCCAGCCAGGCTTGTTTGCAGGGCAGCAAACCCAGGGTCTCCTGCCTTCTGAGCCACCTTCCCAACTCCACCGAAAGAGTTCTGTTTTTTAAATTAAAGCACATTGATTTTTTTTTTTTGAAAGAGAAAATGCTACTGTAGTAAGAACTAAAGCTATAATACTATAGAGCTACATGTAAATATAACTTCTATATGTACTAGGGAAACATAAAGTTCACTGACCCGTTTTATTGGGATATGTGCTTTCCTGTGATAGCCTGAAACTAAACTCAGAATAGTTCTTTGTATTCCTATATAGAAGGATGGGGAGAATTTTTAAAAAAAAATTTAGTAATAAGATTAACCAAGAAAATCTGATACAGCTGGAAAGAAAGATGGCGGCCGCAAGGGAGCCTTGTGGACAGCAGGTTTGAGCCGGGGGTGGGGGGCGGCAGGGGCCTCATGGGAAGGGGGGCGTAATGGGCCGTCCTTCACGCCCGACCGAGGTCGCCAGCTGCCCCCCACGAGCGGCTCTCCGGCACAGCCACGGCCCCGGAGGCACAAGGACTTAGCACAGAGAGCCACCCACTTGGAGCACAAAAGTAAATGGACTATGTGTTAAACCGCGCCAGCATGCCTGCCCGGAGGCAAAAGGGTGTTGACCCACTCGCCCGCTCCTCTCTGGAAAGAAAGATGGCGGCCGCACCGGAGCCTTGTGGACAGCAGGTTTGAGCCGGGGGTGGCAGCGGCAGGGGCCTCATGGGAAGGGGGGCGTTCTGGGCCGTCCTTCACGTCCGACCGAGGTCGCCAGCTGCCCCCCATGAGCGGCTCTCCAGCACGGCCATGACTCCAGAGCACAGAAACCAATCTCTTAACTATCTAACTTTTAATAGAAATACTTCCAGGGTTAATAAGTAAAATAGCAGAAATCCAAAACCGCGACATCATTTAATTCTTAAAACCCAGCTGTAGAAAGTAAATTATTTCACAACACTGTTTCAGCATATCTGATTGGGGGGGGGGGTCATAAACTCTAAACAATAATTGTGCATCTTCTATCGAAACAATGTATCTAGTCAAAGTAAAGGCCCTCCCGTTGATCGTGGATTTGCTCCAGCGGGCCCAGTAACGTCTCCATTGGAGACTTTGTTGTTACTGTGTCTGGCATATCGAATACTCTCGGTAGCTTGCCGGGCTCTCCGAGAGGGGCGGAGGAATCGAACTCGGGTCGGCCATGTTGGTAGATAGAGTATTAACTAGAACTCATCTGCCTCACAGGAATTGGGAGGGGTGGGAGGTGGGGTTCTATTGGGGTTCGCGGTTAAAAATAAGTATTGGTAAAGGGAAATATGTTTGATATTTACATGACTGAGACTAAACCCCAAAGCTCTGTAACTTTTCCCACAGTGATTCAATAAAGAAATAAATAAAAAAAGAGAGAATCTGATACATACTGGCTGGCTTGCTCTTTCTTTTCCTTTTCCCTTCTCTTTCCTCCCACCTTCCCCCCTTACTCATCCTTCTCTTCCTTTCTTCCTCCCTCCCTCCTTCCTTCCCTCTCTCCACTTCTCACACAAGCAAGGCTGGAGTTGTGCTGCTGAGTCATCTCCCTAGCTCTGAGGTCTCCAGGTACCAAGTGATATTATACTACTTGAATAGTCACATTTTTATCCAGACTTACACTTGACTATCCAAATGCCATTCAAGTATCTCAGTTGGCGGTTTCATTGGCATCTCAGAGCAGGCTCCAAACTAGGTGGCGGGGCCCAGCCTGGACTCTCCATCCACGGCCACAAACCAGCTCCACTCAAGAACAGTACCATTTCTGTTGACAGTAACTCTTATCCTTCCAGATTTTCAGGCCCAAAACTTCAGTGTCTTTCTTCAAAATCCTACAACTAATCCATCACAAATTCCTGTTGGTTCTACCCTGACAATATTGAGACTCTGAGCTACTGTATTTCTTATTCTTCTCTATACTCTGGTCTAAGGAACCATCACCTCTTTGCTTAGATTTCTGCCATCTCCTTCACAGGCCTCTCTGCCTTTGTCCTTGTTCCTGTGTAGCCTACTGTCAAGACAGTAGTCAGAATCGTCTAATTAAAAAGGAAACATGGGCTCAAGCAATAGGAGAACGAGGAGGGCATTTGCCTTGCACAGGGCCAACCCAGGCTTGATTCCTGGCATCCCATATGGTCCCCGAGCCCTTCCAGGAGTGATCCTTGAGTGCAGAGGCAGAAGTGATCCCTGAGTACTGCTGAGTACAACCCAAACCCCCCAAAATCACGTACATCACGTTCCTCCCGTTGTTCATCAATTTGCTTGAGCAGGTCCAGTAACGTCTCCGTCGTGAGACTTGTTGTTACTGTGTTTGGCATATCGAATACATCATGGGTAGCTTGCCAGGCTCTGCCATGCGGGCAAGATGCCCAAAATAAAATTCTAAAAAAGCGGAAATAGCTGAAAGGGCCGAAACACATGCCCTGCAATCAATGAGGTCCCAAATTGGATTCCTGTCCCTTCATGACCCTCTGAATACTGCAAGGCATGGTCCCAGAGGCTCCCTAAAATAAAGAAATAGAGGTACTTCATTCTGGACTTGCCCTCACCCTTGCTCAAGGTGCATGATTTCTCCCCGCAAGATAAATAAAATAAAACAGAGGTTGGGGAGATGATTCAAAGGTTTAGAGTAAATGTATTTGCATGTAGCAGTCTCTGGTTCAATCTCAGAGACTATTTGCATGACCCGAGAGCATCATCCCACAAGTACCCCGAGCATCACTGGGTATGGCTCAAAAAACCAAATGCAAAACCAAAACTAAGCAGACACTTAAGGAAAGCAGATAATAACATTCTTCTGCACCATATCCTAAAGTGGCTTTGCGTTTTCTTGTTCGTTTGTTTGCTTGTTTTGCCACATCCAGCCAGGCTCAGAGTTTACTTCTGGCTCTGCACTCAGGAATTATTCCTGGTAGTTCTTGGAGGTCCCTAAGGGATGTGGGGGGATCAAACTTAGGTTGGCCGCGTGCAAAGCAAGCGCCCTGTCCCCCTATCCACTCTAGATCCTGAACTGGCGTCTGATTCGATCAGCAAGAAAATGAAAGTCAAAATAAGCGCTTAGGAAGACACTTATATTCTGTTCTCATCTCCTGACTCACCTCTCAGATCTTCTCTTACCCTTTTAACATCTATCCCAGACAGAAAGGCCTCTCTGCTGGCTATTCCCAAGCCAACATACCCAGACTGCTCCCATACTAGGGTGTCTGCCTGGTCCTCCCTCGGCCAGCCAGGAATTCTCTCCTCCAAGTGATCTGCTTAGCTCCCTCTCCCATATCCTGCTTTGTGCAAAACTCACTTCTGAAGGAGGCCTAGGATAATCAATCTATTTTACTGCTTCAAATGCCCAATTCACATTCTCTATGCCTTTTTCTCCCTTTATACTTAAATTTTCCTTAATACTTATCGAGTCAGTTTTCAATATACTTTGATTATTCATTAGTTTACTGTTTAACAGTCGTATCTCCTAGGGGTGGGGATCCTGTTTGGGGCAATGATGTAGCTCCTGCACTTAGAATAATGACGGGCATATTGGAAGGATGCAATACACATCCGTTAATGGAATGACAATAGTACTTTGGAAGAGCCTAAAAAAGTAAAATTAATACAAAATGCCCAATACTGGCTAAAAAACGTTTTCTTTCTCATTAGGTAAAACGGCGGGATTTTTTTAGGCATTATTTCCATAGGCATTTTCTAGAAAGAATGGATTTTTGTAAGTCTTAGTAGAGTATCATCACTAATTTAGAATGTATGTTTTGAAAAATGGAACAGGAAAAGAACCACTGCTTGGTACATAGTTGGGGAACCCATCCTTTCTTTGGTAACAGGCACCATTACTGATCCTCTGAATCATAATAAGACAACTTTCCCCTCCAGAAGAAAAAAAGAAAAATCTCTGAATCATAATAAGACAACATTCCCCTCCAGAAGAAAAAAAGAAAAATCTTAAAAACTCTATTTAGTTGCTGATATATTAATATAATGAAAAACTTAACATTCATAAGAAAATCTACTACAGAAAATATATATAGCAGTGAGGACTTCATTAGTAAGTAGAATCGGGTGTGTGTGTGTGCGGGGGGGGGGGGGGGGGGGGGCGGTGGCCCAGGAGTTTGGGCCACCACCCAGCTGTGCTCAAGGCTTGTTCTGGGCTCTGCTCTCATGGGTCACTTACTCCTGACGGACTCAGGAGACCACATGGGGCACCAGGGGCCCAATCCAGGTTAGCTGCTTCAAGGAAAGTGAATTACTGGTAGTACTAACTCTCCAGACCCTTAAGTAGAATGTAAGGTTTTTGTAAGGAAAGTGAAGCCTGATAGGCCTTATAAATAAATACTACAGGTAAACATCACTTCCACGAAAATAAAACTGCCACTAAAAGTAATGCCCCTAGAAAAAAAATCTATTCACACAGTTAGTTTTTAAAAAATATGGGGCCACACCCTTTGGTACTCAGGGCTCAGGAAATACTCCTGACAGGCTGGCGGAGCATGTGGGATGCTAAAGACTGAACCTGGGCCAGCCGTTTGCAAGGCAAACGCCCTGTCTTGCTGTTCTATCACTCTGGCCCAGAGTCACACATCTTTAAAACCAAAAAATATCTTCATCGGCTATTTTGTAATTCTCAAGGTCAGAAGTGTTTTCAGTTTCCTATTAAAAGCAGAGGAGAATATTGTTTTGAAAAAGTTTCTGCAGCCAATTCTAAAGCCAACAAACACATGTACAGCATGTCCAACATCATATCTTAATTAAGGCTGAACAACTCTTGACAGACAAAGCATTTTCAGAAATGGAACAGAAGCCCGTGGCATACTAAATCATAACTTGATACTATTTAGGAAAGGCAAAAAAGAAAAACCTGCACCAAAATGTTTTAAATGGCTCTATTTGTACTTGAGGATATCTCCTTGTCCTGGTTTTCCCCATTAGCTTAAAGAACAAACTGTCTGTTTTCTTTGGCCTACTTACAGCTCATACAGCTGAAATTATTTACTTTGCAATATTTTGTTTGGATTTAAAAAAAAGAGAGAGAAAACTGTTTCTGAACTATAGTCATTTTAGAAATAATATGGAGAAAATGACAAGGAAACCTATTTATAAGAGTCAAAAGCAAGATCTAACAAATGACCATTAATGGCTTCTTCACAACTATGTTCAGTTAGAAACCATACAGATTAAACCAAACATATTCTATCTGGCCAAACTATAATTTTCTTTACTTCAAATAGAAACATGAACTGACTAAAGAGTGAAGGGAAGACAATTAAGTGTCTCACTTCAGTTGGGTTCTAAAGTGCGTTCTGCTGATGAAGAGCTGCACCCCATACTGAGGAAGGGAAACAGGCCTTATTTTCACAGTGGGCAACTAGAAAAGGGTAAGCCCAGTGTATGGATGCCAAGGACATGCAGTCTCCGATGCTCAGAAGTATGAAGAATCTGATGCCTAAAAGTGATTCAACATTAAATCTACGTCAGAGCTCAACGGAGCAAAAGCAGTACTGGATGCTGCTAGTATAAAACGGAGGCAAAGCAGGGCAGAGAGACGGTACAGCAGGTAAGGTCTCGCCTTACGTGCGGCTAACCTGGGTTCAACCCCAGGCACTCCACCTGTTCCCCGGAACGCCACCAGGAATGATTCCTAAGCACAGAGCCAGTAATAAGCCCTGAGTACAGTTTTGTGTACCCAATCCCAAACTCCCCAGGCCTGCATTACATAAAGGAAGTGAGGGAGGGAGAAGAAAAAGAAAAAGAAAAGAAAAAGAAAGGAAAAGAAAGGCAAAGAAAAAGAAAACTGAAGCAAAGCAACAGCTAAAAGGGAAACGGAGGAAAGGGACAGAACAGCATGTAAACACCACTCCTGTCAGTAGAAGGTGAAACAGATGACAGCATGTACTATGAACAAGGATGGTGGCGCAGGGAAGCCAGCAGGGAGGCTGGGGGACCATGAAACTCACTGCAGATGTATTCGAACATTGGGGATAAACAAATCAATGCTAAACTATTATCTTCAGAAAGAGTTTCTCCCATTCCATGTTATGTAACAAAAAACTCCCAAGTCATGATCTGCTAATCTCTCAAGTTTAAGGACTGTTGCAAATGAAACTGAGAAGGTTGCAGTTAAACTACACACACACACACACACACACACACACACACACACACACACACACACACACACAGATTCAATTCATGTGACTAAATACCAAGGAAGCAAGGACTTTATTCCTACCCAATCTGTTTTTACTTTTACTCTTCCTTTTCGCTCTATTTTTGTTTCTGGACCACACCTGGCCTGCTCAGAGTTTATTTACTTCTGGCTCTATGCTCAGGGATCACTCCTGGCAGTGCTGGGGTGGGGGGGGGGAGAGGGGGGAACCATGTTGGGGTGCTGGGGATCAAAACTGGGTTGGCTGTGTTCAAGGCAAGCACCCTACCTGCTGTGCTATTGTTCCAAGCCCCGCCCCTTCTTCTTTTAAAGGATTCTGGAGTATTAGAAGCAAAGTTGATACTGAAATATTATGTAAACTTAAGTAAAAGTAATATTAATAAAATGTTTGATTCCCTTCTCAATACACAACATTAATATCTCAGTTAAGTTTTCTCTTCATTTTGGGGGGTTCTTGGTGGAGTTAAGGGGACCACGTGTGGTGCCAGGGACTGAACCTGGGGTCAGCAAGGCAATTTCCTCTGTGCACTCTCTCCAGCCCCTCAGTTAGAATTCTTACTGAGCTATCTGGGAATCCTTCACGAATGGACCAGTTTTCTTCTCTCTCTCACGAATGGACCAGAGTTTTCTTCTCTCTCTCTCTCTCTCTCTCTCTCTCTCTCTCTCTCTCTCTCTCTCTCTCTCCCCCCCTTCCTTCCATTCTTTCCCTCCCTCCCTCCCTCCCTCCTTCCTTCTTTCCTTCTCCCTCCCTCCTTCCTTCTTTCCTTCTCCCTCCCTCCCTCCCTTCCTCCCTCCCTCCCTCCCTCCCTCCCTCCCTCCTTCCTTCCTTCCTTCCTTCCTTCCTTCCTTCCTTCCTTCCTTCCTTCCTTCCTTCCTTCCTTCCTTTTTTTGCTTTTTGGGTCACACCTGGTGATGTACAGGGTACAGGGGTTACTCCTGGCTCTTCACTCAGGAATTATTCCTGGAGGTGTTCAGGGGACTATATGGGATGCTGGGAATTGAACCTGGGTCGGCCACGTGCAAGACAGATGCCCTACCCACTGTGCTATAGCTCCAGCATCCAGAGTTTCCTGCGTGACTTGAATCCTGTAGCAGCACATAAAAATAGGCCCTACTCAATTTTTATTTCATCTGCTCTACGCCACTTTATAGATTATTAGTGTCATCATATTGTGCTCTCCATCCTTAAAGGCAAAGGTCAAATCAGCAAATATGATTTAGACTCTGAAAAAAAATGTTCAATTTCTAAAGTTTATTATCACATTTACCTCTTTTGTCTCTTCTGGGTCTGAATGATCCACAGTTATATAAAGGTCATTTTGTAAATACTTCAAAGCACTAAGAGGATCCATTTGGGCCTTTTCTTCAAACCTGGAAGACATAAACAAGAATAATAGTTGTCTAAAGTTATGATAAAAGACCAGAAATGTCTTTTACGTGGAGTGGAATTTTCTGTGTCTGGAAAGTCACTGTGGATACTGAAAAAAAAAAAATCTACACATGAGAATTAGAGTGGGCTGTGCAGCTGGGGGTCCCTGCAGAAACAATGGCGAGGTAGATGAGGAGCTGCCCCTGGACAAGAACACTTCCTAACCACAAGCCGGATCTAGTCAACCACAGAAGCAGGTCGGGGGTACTGATCACAAAATAGAAGTGCGGAAAGAACCCGGTATATTCCACAGAGAACGGGTGGCGGGCTGGGGATGTGGCTCAGGGGGGAAGAGCACACGGCTAGCATGTTCAAGATCCTGGAGTCACCTCCAGGACTGCACAGCTGGGTCTGGTCCCTACAAAAACAAAACCCAAGTCGAGATGAAACTGAAATAAATGGTTCAATTTGCAGTTTCCATTGGAGGTGCTTAACAGATACTTTAGAAACAATTTTATTTTTAGTTTTATTTTTTATGGGGGTGGGGACAAACTCAGTGGTACCTAGGGGCTACTCTGTGCTTGGGGACTTACTGATAGTTCGCAGGGAACCACGTGGTTCATGTATAGTTTAATTTCATCTTTCGGGGGTGGGTTTAGGGCCATACTACACCATGCTCTGAACTTAGGGATCAGTCCTGTGGTACCAGGGACTGAACTGGGGTTGATCACATATAGGTTCTCATTTTGATGAGGCCAGACTTACTAGTCAGCTTCTGGGGTTTGGACTTTGCCTGTCATGCAGACTGACGGTTGGGTATGAAATGATTCTCTTTACAAACAACGTTAGAGAAAAAGCTCATGTAAAGCTTAAAATGATTCCTTGAATCCAGACTTGAAACTTCTTCATGAAATAAGTATTATAAATTCAATCTCTTCATGAACACAGCCTGCAATATTATTTTCATTTCTTCTTATTTTTCATGTGATATTTTGGTTTGGGGGTCACACCTGGCTATGCTCAGGCATCACTTCTGATTATGCTGGGGTGGGGCAGGGAACCATGTGTGGTGTTGGGAATTGAACAGGGGTCAGTGGCAAGCATCTTAACCACTGTATTATATCTCTGGCCAATTTTTTTTTTACTGAGTCTTAAAATTGATTAAATAAGTGTATACTGGGTGTGGGGGCAGGAGCAATAGCACAGCAGTAGGGTGTTTGCCTTGCACGCAGCCAACATGGCCGACCCGAGTTCGATTCCTCCGCCCCTCTCAGAGAGCCTGGCAAGCTACTCAGAGTATCTTGCCCACATGGCAAAGCCTGGCAAGCTACCTGTGATGTATTTGATATGCCAAACACAGTAATAACAAGTCTCATGATAGAGATGTTACTGGGCCCACTCGAGCAAATTGATGAATAACGGGAGGACTGTGACCGTGACAGTGATACTTGGTGTGTATGTGTGTGTGCAAGGGGGTGGGTGTGGGCCATACCCCGTGGTGCTCAGAACTTCTTCCTGGCTCACACAGGGCTTATTCCTGGTTCTGTACTCAGGGATCCTTAACAAATTATTATTTTTAAAAATTTTTATTAATGAAACACCATGAGGTACAGTTGTAGACTTACAAATTTTTGTGCTTGGGTTTCAATTATACAATGATTGAGTACCCATCCCTCCACCTGTGCCCATTTTCCACCACCACGGATCCCAGTATCCCTCCCACCCCCTGTCCTCCCAAGCCACCCTGCCTCTGTTGCAGGACATTCCCTTTTGTTCTCTAACAAAATATTTTTAATGAGACTATTTCCATGTTTCCTTCAGTATAACATCAACAAAAACAACTGCAGCAACAATTTATCAAGTATCTGAATGCGCTAGCCTCTGTATCAAGCATTTTTCCTTCTATCACTTCTTACAATAATGACAGCATTTTATCCTCATTAAAAAAAAAGATGATAAACCAAAAAATTAAGTCTGGCCAAGACTTGTACGTGGCAAAAGCAGAATCAAACACAGATCTATCTGTTCCAACTCTGAAGAGGGAACAATGAGTTCACCCACCCACCCTCCCTCCCTCCCTCCGCCGTTTTGGATTTTTGCCACACCTGACAGTGCTCAGGGGTTACTCCTGGCTCTCCTTTTCCCCTCACAGATGTCTCCCCAATCTAAAGTGCACCAAACTGAACCCATCTTTCCCAATGTGTTTCTGCAAAACCTGTCAGTGGAGAGAAAATAATTATAATCTACTGTCTAGTCCTCTGGAAGAAAATCCTGAAAGAATAATTTTTATTAAGAGGCAAGTCTGAAAGAGTCATTCCTCTCCCTAAAATATGTCCAATGCTCCCCTTTCATTCTGAGTGTAAAAAGCCAAAAACCCTTTCAGAATCACTTCATTAATTCCACAGTTCCTGATTCATTCCTTAAATAACCAAGGCCGATTTGAGCCTCAGAATCTTGTCTATCACTTATCTGGAACACTTTTCTACTCACGAATCTGTAATACCCACTCCCTCCGTTCATTAGATCTTTATATAATGCCATCTTCTTTGACAAAGCCTATTCTAATACTCCTATACAAAATCAGGTCCCTTAACACCTCACTTGTACAAAAACAGTGCTTAACCTGTTATAGGGAATTTCGACTTTTATAATACTTACTGTTCCTTGTTCTCTGCCCCCGCGCCTGGGTGTTCCTTCCCGGAGTCCCTTGGAGGGGAGCGGGTTGAGCTTTCCTCCCCGCCCCGACCAGGGCTACGGCAGCCGAAGACCTCCAGGACCAGCCACCACCATGCTGAGACCACTCTCCGCACACATGAAGGTACTGGCAGAGGGACAAAGCCACGCGGGTTCCGGGGCCGAGACCTCCAAGCCTACTCGATTTGGAGTCGAGCATCTTCCACCCAGATCCTCCAAATTCCAGTAGGCGGGGGTCACACCCACCACCTGGCCCCCTGGCGCCGTGTAATCCCATCAGCGGCCAAGACTCAGAGACTATAAAATTCAGATCCCGGAACCGCGCGGCCGCATTTGCGGCCGCGCGACATCTTATTATCTCATTCCTACTTTGGACAAACTTGCAGGCTATCGAATGTAGCCTGCCCACAGGGCAGAGTCTGGCAAACTCCCCGTGGCCTACCAAATATGCCAAATACCAGTAACAATGATGGGTCTCATTCTCCTAAAGAGCCGTGAATATAATCTCAGGGCTAGGATGAAAGAGACGTTACTGGGGCCTGCTCGAGGCAATCGACGATTAACAGGATGATGAAATGAAAATGAAATGAAACTGTTCCTTGTTATTTTTTTGCTTATGATCCGAAGAATGGAAACTCAGAGGAAGGATTTTTGTTTTCCCCGAAAGTCTAGGATGAAAAACTTATTGAGCATCTGTAATGTATGACACTTCCTTATTTTTCATTTGCAAATTTTTAGCACTGATATCTATTTTTACTTTGCAGTTTCCTTGAAAGCGTAAAGTAAAAATAAGGGCATATAGGAGGGAACTGACAAAAGTCACAGTCTTTGCAGTAATTATATTCCTGTGTTTCTGAATTTTCAAAGTAATTATCTTTGTAATTATTTATCAAAGTAATTACCAAAATATCATCCCCAAGGCTTAGATAATACCAACGATAGATAAAGTTCAGTGGAAGGTCACAATGGCATTCATTTACCTGTGTTTTCTTATGAGGTACTTGCAATGCCTCAGCAAGTAATCCTTTGAAGGCCGACACAACTTCAGTGACCAGAAGTCATCTAATCTCATTTTTGGAGAGCAAGATTTTCCTGGATTCCCACCAAATAAATAATGAACCTGTATTGAACAAAATATACTGGATTTTAAAAAAATGCACACACATTCAAAATCATAGTAAAATTTACTTTGCTAGTCATGGTAAAATTTATTCATTCTGGTAGTAGTACATAAAAGACATTCTTAGCTCTTATATAAAATAAGGCATTATTACATCTCTAATTTCTCTCAATTTTTCGTAAGGTTCCATTTTAAGGTAATATGGCTACTTTCTTAAGAGAGAGAGAGAGAGAGAGAGAGAGAGAGAGAGAGAGAGAGTGTGTGTGTGTGTGTGTGTGTGTGTGTGTATTACAGCCACAAAGCCTGCAAGGAAGACTATGCTATGAAAAAGGGTTCTGATTGGTGTTTTGGGGATGGGGAGTTTTGGGCCACACCTGGTGGTTCTCAGCTGTAACTCCTAGCTTGTTCAGGGATCCACTTGGGGCTAACTGCCTGCAAGGCAACTAACTGCCTTTACCCTCACATTGCTCTAGCATCAAATGACACTTTATATTAAGATGAGTCGTACAACTGCAAATACACTGATGACTGAGCACAAGAAACAAAAGCAATGATAGTCTGAAGCTGGATCCAATAAGCAGTTTGCTTAGGGTAATGAATGACAGGAATTACCAAGCTAATAAAGTATTGATCATAACAAGAAAGAATTTGTTTTAGTCTTAATGACAAATACTAAATTATATATGATGTCTAGGATAAATTTTTAAAGTATTACCCGCCTTTCAATTAAGGCCAAAAAGGAAATATATAAAAAATACAGTAATTGTTTCACTATATTAATTACAGTTTAGAGATCTTCTGTACTTGACATCATGTCAAAGCACTTACTGAAATTTGAAAACACTAACAATATCATCTAATCAGAGGTATTATTTCTATCACAGTTTTGCCTTTGCCTAAGTCTCTCATGAAAGAGAATTTAAATAATTATCAATGGCCTTAAAAGGAAGAACACAGAAAACCAGTTACAGAAATCATCTAAACAATTAATGAAACATAACTTCAAGATGTAGGGCAGTTTTCACAAAGCTGAGAGAAGAGACAGAGAAAAAAACTTCATACATGATGAGAAAAATCTAGAAGTTACATATACTTTCTTATTCTATACGACAAGATCCCCCAGTGCTGAAAAATGTTAATACATTAACTTGGATGTCCATACTGTAGAAACAACAGGCCATAGTATATATCTGAGTAATGCAGCCAAACATTGGCCACTGGACACGTGGAGCCGTGGAGTGAGGGGAGGGGTGAGTGCTCAGGGGATCATAAGTGGTACCTGAAATATGAACCAGGGTTGAAGCCTACACAGCCTCAGGCAAGGCAAGTGCCTAATCTTCTGGACTATCTCTCAGGCCCTACTGGCCACTTTTTAAAAATAAGAAAAGTGCTAGAAATTATGAACTATGCAAAAATGCTTAGTTTTGTAAAGAATTTCAGGGAGAATATGTCTGTTACACAGATAGTCAACTGTATGTCTGCTATTATAACTTTTCATTAAATCTACTTACAAATAATCAGGAACACATATTTGGGGATTCATTCAGATTGCAGATTACACAAAATGTACGGGGCAATGCAGTTAAGATACCTTGTGTAACTCATCATATACAAGCTGATGGGCAAATCTTGGACATGGTTCTTCCTCCTGAAGACTTTTACTTGGATTATCCTTTGCAGCTTGATCATTCTTATAGACACAAGACCTGTAAGATACTGCTTTTAAGACACTTTATCCTTGAAAACTAGCAATACACAAAATATTAATATAACCACAGTAAGCAAATTAACTGCATGTCTGATTACCAACAAAAACAGTACGTTTATTCATATCAACATTTAAAGTTCTGCTTACTCTCATAAATAATCTCGTTTTGTAGAACTGAGATCTGATATTCCTCAAGTTTTGGGATTTAACTAGGCGGTAAAGAGTGGGCTGGGGGATTTCAGAGCCAGAAGGAGAAAGGGGTTCCAGATCAGGGCCAGGAGAGAAGAAGAAGAAGAAGAAGAAGAAGAAGAAGAGAGAGAGAGAGAGAGAGAGAGAGAGAGAGAGAGAGAGAGAGATAGGAGTGAATGGGGATGAGATTGGAATAAAGGACTACTGAGACCAACCAGCCTGGCTCTCGTTCCTTCCTTCACCTGCCCTCAGCCAAAAGCCGTCCCGATCCAGTCCACACACAGCGGCTCTAGAGCACCCAACGCGGTGGTGAGACAGAGCCGCCCGGAGTGAACACACACCCTTCAGCGTGCGTAGTTTTTTACAGTGGTGGTGGTGGCGGGGGTCAGCAGACCCAGCGGTGCTCAGAGCTATTCCTGCTTAATTCTGGCACTGGGCCTGACCCACTTGTATTATCTCCCTGGCCCCTCACACTGGCATTTAAATGCACCACATCAGTTACCACCAGACCTTCCTTATCTTTCTCCTTTTGAATAAACAGCCTTCAAAACAAAGTCATATGGGATTACAGCACACACCAGAGCTACTTACCAACTATTTCTCACAATGTCATAAATCCAGAATGAATTTCTAACGTTCTCTTCTCTCTTTTCCTTGTCTTTGCTAAGTCCGGATAAGACGTGTATTTCATTCAGTTCGGGATCAATAGTTGCTCTCTGTGTGAATCCTGTCATTGGAACTGCAAATTGAAGGAGAAAATAGACAACAGTACTTGTGTTAGGCAACAGAGCATGTGTTTATCTTTAAGAGATAAACATAATCTTTCCCTATTCTATTTGTGGCCATGGTGCTTAACCCTTAGCAAGGCTACGCCATGCCTGTGTGCAACAACAAGGGATTCTTCAGTGCCATTCTACTTTAGAATGAAAGGTCTACATGGGTAGAAGCTGTTGGGTTCACGGTTTGAGACCCAGTGCCCACAACAGCGCCTGGCACAGAAAAGTCAGAGCAGTTACCCAACCACTCGCTTGCTGAGAGAATAAGTGAACACTATTACAATGGAGTCCAGCAGGGAATGATGGAGAGTGGATGAAACGTGATCATTTTCACCGAGGGAGTGGACAAAAAGCCTTCATCAATTTATTATCTGGGTCAGCTCTCAGAGTAAGAGAAAATACTCAGTGTTGACCTGGAAAAATGAGACTCTGACAGAACATGAAACACAGGTTTGTTCAATAAGGTTAGAGTTGTTTAAAGGATTTGTTCATGATCTGGGAATGCAGTACTTAATATCTAAGAGGGGGAAAAAAAACATTCTGGAGTATAATGTGCCATTTTGTCTTCCTGAGTGGCTTGAACTCTCCCAAATTAATAATGCTTGGGTTTTTGTGGCCATCTCAGGCCACATCAGGAGGTGCTCAGGGCTTGCTCCTAGCTCTGCATAGCAGGATCATTCCTGACTGGCCTGGGGCACCATACAGGATGCCAGGGATGGAACCTGGGTCAGCTGCGTGCAAGGCAAGCGCTTTACCCACTGTACTATCTCTCTAATCCTTTTTTTGGGTATTTTAAAAAGCCATTACATGTAGGGCCAGGGTATACAGCTCAGTGGTAGAGAACATGCTTTCCAAGGGTGTGAGGCCTCAGGCTGTTGGATGTTCAGTACCCCACCAGTCTAAAAATTTTTTTAAATTTAAAAAGTCATTTAAATGGGTGATTAAATATCCGGCAGAATACTAGCCAGCAGAATTTTGCAGAAAATGCAATTTTCCCCATCACTGCTATTTGGAAATAACAGCTACAAAATAATCTCATGTTTCACAACGTAACTGCCATGAACCAAAAAATGTCATTGTTTTAATGCAATTCATTTATACGTTACTGTCATTGGTTTAAGGAACTCTATTTGTACATGAAGCATAATTTGAGCACAATTGTATGCTCAGAAAGTTAAATAAATATCAGACTGAACACTCTGGTGACAGATGTGACAATGGGACTATGTACAGATGAAAATATCATTGTAAATCATGGTACCAAGTACGAAGGAAAATATTTTGTAAATCATAGTACCTCAATAAAAACGGGGAAAAATATTCACAGGCAGAAACTTTTCAAAGATAAAATCCCTACTAATCTGTAATTTCATAAATTAAGAGATACAGTTTTAATTTTTATAAATATAATTTATTATACTTATACAATTTAGATGCAACATAATTATATTTATATACATTTTTATTGGTTTATATTTTTAGGGGGGCCACACCTGGTGGTCCTCAAGGCTTACACCTGGTTCTGAGCTCAGGGCTCACTCCTGGAAAGCTTAGGGGGCCATATGGAGTGCCGGGGAACAAACCTGGGTTGGCCGCATGTGAGGCAAGCACCCGACCCACTGTACTATTGCTCTAGCCCCTCAAATACAATTTTTATTATAACTAGTGACAAAAGTTTTTATATTCAAGTATGTTTGCATATGAATAGAAAACATGGAAGAACACAGACCAAGCTACAAATACTGAGAAGACTATGACATTTTTATTTTCTATTTTATAATACAAATACTTCATTTATTGACTTTTTAGTTAGAAGATAAATCCAAATCTAGATACAGAAAATACTTATCTGGGAACTTTAAGTAGTAAGAGAGTTCATAAATATTTGGAGTACTCTTATTTCGGTAGAATGGGCATTCATTTTTTGGGGGGACCACACCCAACTGTGCTCAGAACTTACTCAGGCAGGGCTCCGGGGACCATATGAGGTGTCAGGAATCTCAAATCCAGGCCGGCTGTGTGCAAGGCAAAGGCAAGTGCCCTAACCACTATACTACTGCTTAAGTCCCAGGAATTGGGGTTTTAAACACAGGTTTATGGACTTTAAAAAATGCTTTTTAACTATTTGGTGGCATGATGGTGACAAAAATAAACTTAGATATATTAGGCTATGTTAGGCTTTTCCATATTAGTCTATGTATATAAATTTTTTAATTTTTTTTAACAACTAAAAGTAAAAACTTATTTTTAGAAAGTCCCTAGATATAAGGGGATCAACCCAAACTTGCACTAAGTATATATGTCAATAGCTTTGTACTGAAGATTTATAAATTATACTTAAGCTGAATTCTTTACTTCACTCCACTTTATTTCACTCCACTTGTTTATTGAAAACAAGTAACAATTCAAAACACATTTAAATCAAAAAAAGATTTTCCACCTCTATCTTCAAAAGTAGTCTAGATTTCTCCTAGAAACTAGTCCATTTTTTGTAATACAACAAATCTGATCTGTTATTTGATCTGATAACTTTTTTGTAAACAGCAGGAAAAAACCAATTTCTTATTTTAAATGGAGATTTTGTGCATTCTTATTAAGAAAAACAAAAATGCAAATAAATGTATGAAGTATGATCCATCTTATTTTACCTTAAGAGTATCTAAATACTATATTAATATAGGACAAATGGCTTCATAAAGCTATCTTAATACCATACTCTGATTCTGCAAGCTAATTTTAGATTCTTGAGTTTTTACTACTAACAGAAAGAAGCAACTTATTAGACTGTGGCTTCAGACAGCAAACTAAAGACAAACAACATTACTTTTCTCATCTCCTCATTAAATTGACAGAAAAGATATTCCAACAAAAAAGGGAGGGGTGGTAAATGACACTAGAAAAGAAGAAAGTTTGTCATCAAGAGATAAATTCCAAGGAATCTTGGATGACAGCTGGGTGTATGTGAACAGAGATGTCATGGCCAAGAGACAGAGCCCAATTCACCGGGGACGAAAGATGATAGACCTCCAAGGAAGTCTTCAGAAACAAAAAGCAGGACTATGCTGTGGGGAGAAACACAGGTAGAGCTCTAAGGAACCGCAAATCTTCACCACCAGCTTCCAGGAAGGACCGGCAGAGAGACAAGACAGTGCTGTTCTGACCCGCACAGATCTGATGACCCTGCACTGTCTTCCTCTGAATGGTGGACAGGTGTCTAACACACTTAGGGAGCACTCTCGGCTAGTGCCCAGGAGAAAAACAGGCCTACACAGTAGGAAGAAACCACTGTTGAGGACATTCCTTTCCTCCAGAGTCCTTTATTCATAAATTTTTAATGCTTTTAAGGGAATCACAATGCACGTGAGAAAATACTCAACAAGAGAGAAAGAGCAGGCAAAGATAAATCACAGAAAATAACAACATGGGAAACACTGGGAAACTCATTATTGTTTTTCGAGGGAGGCACCAAGGATTAAAACCTGAACCTCACAGATACAGAGGAAAAGCTCAACCGTGCACTCAAACCCTGAGCCCATCGTTCTCCTTGATGTAAAGAGAAGATTGTGTGTGCAAAAGAATAAGCTTCTAATATAAGGACCAGAGAATATGAAAAAGGTATTTGACAAATCAACGACAGAATACAAACAAAAGGTAATGTGATCGAAATAGTCAGAGGTCTTAATAAAACTGATACAGCAGCAGATCATATAGGAAAATGACACAAGTTATGATAGAAAAAAAAAACTAAGAGGATAAAGTCATGGGGTGAAGGGTAAAAAAAAAAAGAATCTGTCTAAAAAGAGTATCAGAAACTAGTGAAATAATGTAGAAGAAAGCAAACAAAAATAATTTCCCTGAACAGAAAACAGAAAACACCAGTGGGCATCCTGGCGGAATCTGAGGGGAAAACAAGGCTGTGGTACGGAGGGCATCGCTTTGACTGGCCGTGGAGCTGTGAGGGCCTCAATCTGGTACCCAACACCAGTAGCTAACTATAAACGAACACAACAGGAACAAGACAAAGTCTTGGCTACTAAGGCATGCCTTTATTTTTAAAAGATAGCGATATTTATCTATCCACACCCATACACATACACTACCGCTAGGAACAGGGAAATATTTCAAAATATTTAAAATATTCTAAATATAAACGATTAAATAGTCAAATAGTTACAATTAATTATTTACAATTACAAATCATTTAATTGTTAAAAGGCAAAATTGGGTCCCCCCACGACCATTTACAAAAAAGGTATGAGGAAGCAGATTTGATGTATTACAAAAATGGACCTGTTTCTAGGAGAAATCTCTTAAATATTAAGTAGCAATTTAAAACAGCTTCTTCTGTCTTGAGACAGAAGAGTAGACAGACAGGCACAGGGAGCTTATGTCCTCCCTGGAGGACAAAGTTGGAGCTTCAGTGAAACTGCAACACTCCAGCAACAAAAACCTCCGGGGAGGGGGGGAAGGCTACTGCCAACAGAAGAATAATTTCCAGCTAATATGAGGCCTTTAATAAGTAGCAGTTCTAGAACACAACGAAATAATACTTTTAAAATGATGAGAAAAAAAAATGAAACCAAAATTCTATTTTCGGTTAAAATTAACAAGCCTAACAAGGAGGGCAAATTAAACGGAATTTTTGAACCAGCGTCAGTAAGAAACTAATCTATGACTGCAAGGGAAGGAATTATTCTAGGAATAATTCCAGCAAGAAGAAAAGAAATCTAAAAAGGGCCCAAGAAAAGAGCTCCAAGGACTGTAGCACAAGTGGGAGGCTGGGCTCAGTGTCTGAGCAGCCCCTGGAATGCATCTCCCAGCACCAGTGCAGGGGCCAAAAAACCAAAAAACAAACCAAAAATCTAGGAAAAAGAATGGATAGAAGAGAAAGCAAGTACTATGAGGCACAAGAAAGAAAAAAAAGGAGAAACATTCATAAAGGAAATAAAGATCCATGAGATCTTGAGCCTTTCTGGGCAGTCTTTATAATGCAGAATATTTTCTTCCCTGAAAGGCTAGACATGGTATCTGGACTTGTAGTGTGGTCCATCCCCCTTTCTCAGGTTTTCACTGCTTATAATCTGGGTCCTAGTATTTTTCTTCAGGCAAAGATAAATTTTCTCAGGAGAAGTTGTCACTACTTATCACAAATTACTTACATCTCCAAGATTTATTTCTCATTTGCCTGACTTCCGAATGGGTTTCTAATCTAGATCTTTATATGGCAATCTTTCTAAGACAAATAAACCTGAGAATATTTTATTTCACACACATCTGAAAGTTTGGGAGCGGGGGCAACATACATTTCCTGGGTCAAAGTCATTTTCTTAGAGCACTTTCTAATCTCTGCTCTCTTCTTCATTCACTCTTACAGCCATCTGTTCTTTCTTTAAAAAATTTCTTTTTGTCTTTGATATTTCTGCTTTGTTCTGTTTTAGTTTGTGGGTCATACCCAGTGATGCTCAGGGCTTATACCTGACTCTGAACACTGGAAATCACCCCTGGTGGTGTTCAGGGAACCATAAGGGATGTTAGGGATCAACCTGGATGGGCTTCAAGCAAGGTAAGTCCTACTCACTGTACTATGGCTCCGGTACGTGTCTTTGATAGTCTTAATTTTAATACTCTTGGGTATGTGCTTCTCCTTATTTTCTGTTTGGTACACTATAGGCCCTTGACCAATCAAAGGCCTTTCAACTTTCCTGAACTCTAGGATATTTATCTCCACAATCTCTTCTCTTCTCCTTCCTCTCTCCCTTCTCCTTCTCTCCCTCCCTTCCTCCAGCCATTCCTTAACAGGAAGTCCTATTAAGCATTTAGTCCTATTACGTCCTATTAGGCATTTAGGCCTAAAACAGAGTATAAAGCTTAAGGCATTTGCCTCACATGTGGCTGTATCCATCACACAGCTTCCACACATGGTCCCCCTGAGTACCACCAGCTGTGGCCCTTGAGCACAGACCCAGGAGTGGCCGTCAAGCACAGCTGTGGTTTCTGAACACCAAAGGGTGTGGCCTCAAGACAAAAAGACTAAACAAACAAAAAAAGGAACTTGGCATTTATACTATACACATGCTTGAGTTTTACTTATATATATATATGATATATACTATACATATAACATACATATTCTTTCTCTTGTATCTTTTTGCTTTTCTATTTCTTTTGGGAAAAGTATTTCTTTTAATCTCTCAGGTAATTAATTCATATTCTATTTACAGTATATGTTACGATTTCATTTTAAGTATATTTCCTTCTATTTCTATTTGTAATGTTCTTCACATTACTAACATGTTTTCTTACATCTTTTCACAGATCATGCTTGTTAGAAAGTCTTGGCACATCTACTGTAAGAATTCTGCTTTAGATCCATACATATTGTCAGTTTATTGATCTCTTTTTAAGCTGTAGACTTGAACTGTCTAGTGCTACTGTGCTGTTGAGCTGTCTGATGTCTATCCAAAATAAGTGGATTTCTTAATAAAAATCTACCTAGAAATGTTTTTTCCAGGGTACCCGCTATTGTTTTTGGTAAGCTAGACTGAGGTATTCCAGACCAGGCCCTGGCTAGCATGAACACCAGTGAGTTTGAGGAAACAGGGACAAGTCAGGGGACAGGGAAGCCTTCGCATGGAGAACCCGTTAATAACTTTCATTTCTACCCCTCCCACCTCCCAACCGCCAGGGTTTTATACCTTTCAGCCCTTTAAGGGAAGTAGAAAGCAGCATCCCTGGAGGGGAAAAAGAAAAGAATGACTGAAACTGGAGAGCTGGTCCACATCTACTTCCATCTACTCTTAATTTCAGCGGGGCTTCTGCCTACCATAAGGCGAGTTCTTTGGATTCTGGCTCTGGGTATGAGCCACTGAGATGAGTTTCCATACCCAAGAAAAAGAATGAACTCAAGACAAGTTAGGGAGAAGACAGCCCGCTTTCTCATTTAGTTCTTTTGCAGTGGCGGGGATCAAAGCTGGGTTCACATGCGTGGCCTCTCACGTTGAGTTCCGAAAGTTCAGTTACCTCTCATTCCATTTTCAAGGGGTTGATCTGCAGGAAGAGAATCTGCAGCCTGTGTTAAGTTTGCTATTTTCTTTCTGGGGGCCAGAGAGACAGTACAATGGCGGGTAAGGCACTCACCTTGCATACACCTGACCCAGATTCTATCCCCAACACCCCTTATGGTCCCCTGAACCCAGCCAGGAGTGATTCCTGAGCACAAAGCCAGGAGTAAGCTCTGAGCACTGCCATGTGTGGCCCAAAAACTGAGAGAGAGAGAGAAAAAAAGAATTTGCTACTTTGGCTGAAATCCTTTTCACTTTATAATATACTGTGTGAATTGCCCTTATTAAGTACACTGTGTTACTTCTATAGTAATTTTATGAAAATAAAAATCATTAAACAAAAACAGTAAGATCAAATAAAAGATCTAAAGGTCAAAGCTAAGAAAGCTTTCATTCAAATATGCCATAGTTATTAACATAATCCCCTATGTTTTCTTCCCCAAAAGAAAACAAGGCTATCTTTTCAACTGAATAGCTTCTAGTGATGAAAGAAGGAAGGATAAAGAGTAAAAGATCTGCAACATGATTCTCCTTGGGGGTCATACGTGACTCTCTGTGCAGGGACCACACCTGTAAATTAATAAGGTAGAAAAGTGCTCAGGGGACTGTTTGTTAAGTGGTGCCCGGAACTGAACCAGGGTTATGGCAGCAGGTACGCGTTAGGCAAACATCTTAACCTTTGTACTCTCTCTCCAGCTCACATCGTTACAACTTGCTGTAAGGTAGCTAAATATTACAGTAACCAAATAAACAAGTAGTCTGAATCACAGTATCTTTTCTCCTTTGGTTTACTCAACAGGCAGATGGAGGAAGAGGACTGCAATTAGTAATGTCAGAAAACCACAAGAGGAGAATAAAAGGTAATAAGTATTTTTAATTCATTTCAGTCTCTAAAGGAAGACATCACTATTTTAATTCATGAATTAATCTCAACTCTACCTGTGCTATATGATCCATTGCACATATTTACTATTAATCAAGACATGGAGGGAAATTTTTTTGAGTGCTGTCACAAAATATAAAATTGAATAAAAACAGCTTTCTACTCTTCGTCAGTGTATTTTCTTCTTTAAGTAATAGAAAAGCCTGACTTAACAGTGGATTGACGAACTTGTAAAACACGGATCTAGCAAGCAGACAATTTCAGTGTTCCAACCAAACCAAGTGTGCTGGTTAACAGTCCTAGACTTCCCCGGTCTCCTTGCAGGTGTGAAGGTTGCCAGTACCAGCTCTAAGTAATGTCTATTTTTTCAAATGAGTATTCAAACAGAGAGAAAGGAGCCTGTTTGCCGCCTTCTTTCTCCTTCTCCTTTTCTTTCTTGGTTTTGGGCCACGCGTAGCAGTGCTCCGGACTTACTCCTGTACTTACTCAGGGATCACTCTTGGCAGTGCTTTGGGCGCCGTATGTGGTACTGGGCAACTGAACCTGGAAGGCAAGTGCTCTACCCACTCCCTGGCACTGGCATCAATTTTCTTAGGGAATTCCTCCAGATTTTCTCAGTGGTCAACACTGGGCCCAGGGAAAGTGAAATAATTTAGCAAGTGATAATGACTAGTTAACTAATTCATTGCCTAGGGCTTGGTTAACAAGAAAAGGCCTGCAGTGACTTGGTGATTGGGTAAGTAGCAGTGTCTATCACATTCGTATCTTCTAAGTTTGAGACTTGTTACAACCTGACAGGTTACAACCTGAAAGCCTATTAGGGTCTGGCAGTAACTCCAATTTAGATCTACTATCTCAGCTGAACCTGGGCTTCTATGGCTTTGTTTTAATTTCTGTAAAACTACAATTAGTTTGTATTACTCTACAGTGTTTACTGACCTACTTCATTCATATCTGGCAATCAAAAGTCCATCTCATTGAATAGACCCATCATAATTTACCTATTGTCATACGAGAGCCGAGAGCTGTTTCCAGACAGTTTACTCTTGCAAACAAAAACTATACTAAGCGTTAACCATAAGATTTATGTTTTTATATCTGTGCAAGTTTGTAAGTAGGATAAACCCCTGGAAAGAAAACTGTCAGTCAAAAATATGTATTTCTTTTATGCCATGGTAGTATTTTATTTTTCTTTTTGTAGTATCACAGATTAACATCACTTATTGGCAACATGAAACTTTTTTCTGTGAACAATATTAGTGAAATATTCCTTCTTTATTGATTTATAAGTCTTTTGTTTATAGTAGTAGTTTATAGTAGTAGGATTTTAATTTTGGTTGTAGTTGCTACACTGTCATTTATTAGAGACTTTCAGGTTTAGTGTCATGTTTAGAAAGGTCTTTTCCCAGGCCTAAATTAATAAAAACAGTAATAGATATTATTTATTCTGCATAAAACTAGAGGTTTATCTGATAGTAATAACCGGTACTACTTTATTAACCCTCACTTTCAAAACTGCCATTAGTATTCTTGCTGTTTGCTTTTATAAGTAAACTTTATTTCACATTTACTATAAATGACAAATTTTATAATTAAAAGTATAAAATGCCTTTTAAAGCCTGCAGATAGCAAAAACACCCCTGGGAGAGTAGACAGGGGCAATATGGGAAGTTATTATTACCAATAATGTTGAGAGGAAAAAGTACATAATCCAGGCTCGAGACAAGTTAACGACAGAGCATATGTAGGCTCTACATGAGGTTCTGGGTTTCATCCTGGGGGCGTGTGGGGGATGTGGGGGAAGGACACAACTCAAATTTATCAGAACAATGGCACACCAAATATGAAAGAAACAGGAAGCAATGAAAATCATTTTGAAAATAAGCGTTATCATCTCCTAGCTCAGTAGCTGAACTCTGTTAATGATGGAAATGATTAGCTATAAAATCTTTGCTAATGCACAATAATTTAAGTAAGAAGTGAAAGTCTCAGAGGGTTAAAAAATCATAAAAACTTATGCTGGTTTTTCAAAAAAGACAGTGAGCACATTCCCAGTGCCAAAATGAAAACCAGTGATATTTTGTTCAAATGTTTATGGATAAAAATCAGATTTTGCAGATAGCATAGGACTCATGTTTGTTTTATAGCCTGACAACAAGAAGGGACTAAAACTGTTAGATAACGCCCTATCATGAGGTAGTTCAGGCCCACAGAGATTTTTTAATTTTGCCAAAGTTGCAGAGCTTGTGAAGTTTGCTAAAGTGGAAAACAAGAATGAAGAGACCAAGTCTTCTGATTCTTAATTCATTACCCTATCTCTAGAGTTAGAACAAAACGGAACAAGTAAGGACAGATATGGGAAACACAGTGGAGAGAATTTACAGAACAAAAAAAGGAAAACCATAACTACTATAAAACATGGATTAAAGCTGTAAGAGCTCTGTGTCATCAATGCTGGATTTAGCACTTGGCAAATGATGAAGACCCAACAGACAATTTGTTATCATGAATAATACAGATAAAAGAAAATAATCATCTTAAAATGGACTGAATCTCTATAGCAAACCATAAAGGCCCAGCAATATGACGCCTCTGAAATGTAAGCTTCAACTATCTTTAAATACTGAATTTACATATGGGGAATCTGCTACACTCTCCCCGTTTACAAGCTTATTGTCAGAGTTATCCAGAAATAAAGCCAAAATTTTGATGTGGAATTTTGATACAATTATATACGTGAGACATAATACTAATAAATCTCTTCTTCCTGAGCAGTTGCCTATCCACTGAATTTTAAAATCTTAGTGAGGCGAATATTGTTATATTCTGGTTTTAAAAAAATTCAAGGTTCTTTCCAGTTCTGAGGTGTTAAATCTTTGAAGATAATTTTGTTGACTATAAAGAGCAACCATTTTGAGATCTGATATTATCTGACACAGAAAGCTGTAACAAACAGCTAGACTTTTTCATATTCCATCTTTAACTGATGAACTCCATAGTTCACATTCATTCTATGATTTCAAACAATCCAATTTGAAACACACAATAAATGCAGTTTTAATCAAATAACCCACATTACTGAATCATAGACAAACATAGTAATTATATGTTAAGTCCATCTCAAATAACAGTAATTAACTGTAGTAAAAAAGCTTTAGAAGAACAGTTAATAAATCGAATGTTTAAATGAGCTAGAGAGCATCCACAGAATAGAAGAAAATTTGTATTTTCTAAGAATGCCCAATAATGTGGAAAATTAAATAGCACCCAGCTTTGTTCTAATAGGAACTTTTCATGGCTTAAAAGATAAGTAATAACTAAGCATGACAAAACGGAGTTTCAAAGGGCTTTTAAAAATCATGTACAAGTAATTCTATGGGAGTACAATAAAATAAATAATTGTTCTGACATGAGGTTTTCTGATTACTCCAAGTTCAGTGAAAGTTTTTTTTTAAGGAGAGGTAATTTAGTGTTTTGAAAAGACAAATGTTCTTTGAGAAACCTTGAGAAAAATCTGTGTTTTTCAGATGAGCCTTTTACAGGTTTTGAAAAGCAGAGTCAAATTTATACTGCCAGAAGAAAACACAGAATGAGTTCAAAGTTTGAACCAAATGCTTTAATTCCTAACCTGGGCTTGAGGAGGTAAGAGAATTCCCATGATCTATGAAAGATCTGAAATACAACATAAGTCATTTCTGTGCTGGAGGTGGGAGGAAAAGTGATTTGGGCACGGGCAAAAAGCCAAAGGCAAGAAGCAAGCTTTTTACAAAGAATCAGTACTCAGTACTCATGAAACCAAAAAAAGGGGCCAAGTCAGGGTCAATACAGAGAGCGCACTGGAGGATTAACTGGCTTATCATACAGGAACCTGAGACTGACTGAGTTTAGGCTTCTAATCCTGAGGGTAAATATGAAAAAATTCAATCAAGTTTCTCATGTTTTAACAATATTTTCCTACCAGTGTAAATCAAAAGGGAAGGCTGCCAATCTACTTTTTTCTCTTCCCTATACATAACTACAAGCCCCATGAAGACAGAGCTGTTATTTATACTTGCGTGCTCAGTGCTTCTGCTATTAATAACCTGTAAGTGACAAAATATACCCACTTCGTAAATGTTACAGGATCTGGTCCTGTAGCACTGAATTAGTCATAGAACAGCTATATACTGATTAAGAGTGCGGGAAAGGCTTGGGGGAGCCGGGAAGAAGTCTAGAAACAGAAGCAGAACAGGGGATGAGAACAGTTCAAACTAGTGGTATAGCGAGGTAACAGTGACATGACTTGGTCACTGAATAGATCAGTGAGTCTGTCAATACTGTCCACTCTTAAGAAAATCTGAGATACCCACAAAAATACCAGCCTAAACTCTAAGGTCAATCCAGCTCATCTCCCAGAGTAGCTATGAGTAGGGATACTACTTTCCTTAAAATACAGTTTTATTCACTTACATACAAGCCAAGGCCAGGATATCAGGTAGCCTGCCCCAAGTCCGCCTCACTAAGGACTGAAATGGGCTTTCTAGAGCTACAACAGAGGTTCTCAAACTTGGCCAAAGAGCAGAAACCCTTGGGACAAGGAAGAAAGAGAAGAGTTTGGGGTAGGGTTGGGAGGGGGGTGTTGAAAGAGGAAAATTTTCCAGGTAGTTCTGACCAGATCTCAATTCTGCTATAAAGATCGTCAATCACACAGTGATGAACCACTTGAAAAATGTGTATCTAGACCAAACTTCCCAAAGTGAAGATACTGCAGCCCGGGGGTGCTGGGAGGATCTAGGGGGTCAGCAGTAGCCTAGGGTATAAATGGGGATACAGGCATCTCTACTTATTTTGAATTATTCAGCACTGAATAATTTTGCTTCTGAAAAACAGACGGCAGGCCAAGAGTTTGAGAATCTCTGATATACACCAAAGCATAGTGCTTTTACAACTCAGATTAAACTCTGGCATCGACCCTCTCAGACATAAACCTTACTTAGAAAATAACTGCACTGTGTTCACTTGTACAAGTACTGAATGATCATACTCCAGCTATTTCTCCAACCTCATTTCACATCAACTTAAGGCACCCTCAGCTGCCCCATCTACTCCTGGAACACCTAAGTTCTTTCCTGCTTTGGACCTTTGTATTTGCTTTATTCTTCGTGGTGAACATCGTTCTTTAAACGCTCACCTCATCAGGAACAGTTTCCTAATCTACTCTAACTAGGGATCACCAGTAGTACCTAAGTTTTTCCCCTTCACAATACTTAGAAGTATAGTTCTCTCTTCATGAGACTGTGTTCTTTGAGGGATCTTTTTTTTTTTTTTGAGGGGCTTGGAGTGGGAGGTTGTGGGCCACAACTAGCGGAGATGTGGTCTACTGCCAGCTTGGTGCTTAGGAACTGCCCTGGTGGTGCTGGGGTGAGGGTGGGGAGGGACCAGGCCAGGCCTGCTTGGCCCGCTGAGCTCCCTCCGGTCCGAGTGAAGGGATCTGATCCCCAGGCTTGCAGCTGCTTCCCAGCAGCATGTTAAAACACACAGAAGAAGGGCTTACATACGTGGGGAAAAGGGAGACACAACACACAGAATTCTCTAATGTAGAAGGAAGTGCCTTCAGAGGGAGGCTTTTTGTTTTCTTTTCTAAATGCAATGTACTGAGCCGGAGATTAATATCTTTCAATTTGGGGAAATTTTGAGTTTTTAATTTTATAATTCAGCGGCCTTCACTTCCCTAGTTCTCAACAGATGGAGAAACACTGTTCAGGATTTAGCCTCCTGGATTTTACTGAAATCCTTATTTATTGACAACTCTTCTATTTTTCTTTGTTTTGTTTGGGAGTCATATACCCTGTGTTCTTTGGGGGCACTCCTGACTGCTCAGAAGACCACGTGATGCCCGGAGGTCAAACTCAGGCCTCCTACATGCATAGCATGTGCTCCAGCAGCTCATCAAACCATCTCTCCTGACTCTCCTCCACATTTTTTTCTCTAACAAAATTCATTTTTCAGAAAGTATCTTAGCCTGACCATTCACGTACTCCAATTATTATTGTATGGATGCAGTACCTCTCCCCCCAAAAACCCTGTCACTGTCCTCCCGCTGTTCATTGATTTGCTCGAGTGGGCACCGGTAATGTCTCCATCATGAGACTTACTGTTACCAGTTTTGGCATATTGAATACGTCATGGGGAGCTTGCCAGGTTTTGCGGTGCAAGCAGAATACTCTCATTAGCTTGCCAGGCTCTCCAAGAGGGGCACACCTACCACATCCTACCTGCTATGCTATTGCTCTAGCCCCCAAACACCGTATCTGATCAGTAATTACTTTCATTTACCTGTGTCCATCCACTACTCCAAATTTCTCTTTTTAGGTTTGTTTTTGTCTCTCTCTTTCATGATTAGCTATTTCAAATTAATTGAAAGCTCATTAGGAGTGGCAATGGAGAAAGTAAACTGGAAACAGGAGTGCACAGTGGACAATGCTGGAAGGGCTCAGGGCTGGAAGTGATCACCAGACTCGGTGGGGACTGCGGAGTGATTATTTAGTTTGGGAGACAGGGTGAGAGGTGAGGGTGACCAAAACAATAGCATCTAGAAATCTTTTCTAGTCTCTGCCTAAGCAAGTATAGAGAAAGTTGTGAGGGTTAAATCAATTCATATGTAATATTTTTTAATGGTGGAATGATTTTTTTAAAGGAAAGGATCTGAACATAAACAACTATTTTAATAAAAGGTCTATCTTTCCAAATAATATGTATTCGATATGCCAAACACAGTTACAACAAAGTCTCATGATAGAGACGTTACCGGGCCCGCTCGAGCAAATCGATGAACAACGGGAGGACCGTGAATGACCGTGAGCTAAGAGGTAAAAAGAAAGCAAGCTGATGTAATTTTATTTTATTTCAGATTTTGAGCCACACCCAGTGCGGCTCAGGGTTTACTCCTGGCTCTGTGCTCAGAGTTCATTCTTGGCAGGGCTCAGGGATGAGGTACTGGGGACAGAACACGAATCTGGGTTGGTCCCAGGCCAGGCAAGAACCCTACCCGCTGTACTCTCTTTGGTCCCTGATCTAATTTTATACCTTATTGTTTAGTTTAGGCATTTTATACTGCTGAGTTTGAAATATCATTCTTCTACGCGTACTAAATTACAGGCAAAGCAACTACTTTGTAGGAGAATGACACAAATTATCATCCAAAATAAGACACTTTTGAGAAAGAATAGGACACTATCAATATACGCCAAAGCAATATGCATAAAGTGAGGACTATCTCAGAAAAACCCTATTTATTGCCAAAAGAGAAACTTCTTAGATGATGGATCTGTAAACTTCTAAAGTGCTACCAGTGACATGAAGTTACCTTCCAGAACAAAACTGCTCTCTACTTTGCTAAGGTTTAATACATGTCATGAGAATGAAACACAAGGTGGAAAAAGATTAGCAAACTAGAGGTACGTTTATATGCAGTAATTTTTGTTAACTAATTTTGGGTCATACCTCCAAGTGCTCAGGGGCTACTCCTGGCTTTTTTTTTTTTTTTGAGGGCAGGGGGTGGGGGGGGAGAATGTTTTTGGGCCCCACCAGCAATCCTGGGAATTTACTTCTGGCTCTGCACTCAGGAATTAGTCCTGGTGGTACCAGATATGGTGCCTAGGATGGAACCTGGGTAGGCCTCAAGCAAAGCGGTGCCCTACCCACTATATTATCTCTCGAGCCCTTCTCCTGACTTTGTACTCAGGCGTCACTCCCAGCAGTGCTCAGAGGACCATGGACTGAACCTGGAGCCTAGTGCATACAAAGCATGCTCACTAACCTTTAATGTCTCTGTTCCAAAATATATTAATTCTTTCAGAGACTATCCCCTCCCCAACAAATATACACATGAATAATTCCTTTAAAAATTTATACATTCTTAATTCAGTACACAGAAAATAGTATTTTAAGCGGAAACAAATTAACTGGCAGAAATCTCTTCCTCTCACACAAAATTTTAAAACAATGAAGAAAGGATAAAGAACAGTTAGAAAAAGAAAGTGGGCCTTCTACCTATACAATTAAGACAAGAGAGAGGGATAACTAAATGCCATTACCCATTCCAGAGTCTTTCTTGGTGCCATCTGAGATTATGTCTACATGATCAGAGTCCACATCGTAACTAAAGAAATCGTTCAAGTAGGTCTTCGATCGCTGGCCACCAAATACATATAAGCAACGATTTTTCTGAAAAATAAGAAAAAAAAGGGCAAAGGAAGGAGAAGTAGTCACTTCTATGAAGAATTCAGAAATATCCCTTTAAAACTAAAATTGGCACAAAACTCATTTGATGACAGATCCCATGCAACAGAGCACCATGTGGGAAGAAATCGGAAGTAGCAGTGCTACTATAGACTAAGTGAAATTTAACATAAAAACTAAAGGGAATGCACAGATCTGTTTTTTTTGCTACTGACTTGAATAAACTATGAAACAAGATTTTTCATTATTTCTGAATTTTAAAAAAAGAATGTAAACTACAATTTAGTGATTCTGAGAAATTATTTTTACTTTGGGTATTATACTACTATTGCAATTATATTTTGTAAAATTTCTTTTATTTTTGGGTCACACCCGGTGGTGCTCAGGGCTTACTCCTGGCTCTGCACTCAGGGATCACTCTTGGTGGGCTCAGTGGACCATATGGGGTGCCAGGGATTAAACCTGGGTTGGCCGCCTGCAAGGCAAACACCCTGCCTGTAGTACTGTTCCTCCCCCCTCAGATTTTGTTAAAGTTCTTATCTGTTAGTAAAGGTAAAGGTAAAGGCCCTCCCGTTGATCGTCGATTTGCTCGAGCGGGCCCAGTAACGTCTCCATTGGAGACTTTGTTGTTACTGTGTCTGGCATATCGAATACTCCCGGTAGCTTGCCGGGCTCTCCGAGAGGGGCGGAGGAATCGAACTCGGGTCGGCCATGTTGGCCGCTTGTAAGGCGAACGCCCTACCCGCTGTGCTATCGCTCCAGCCAGTGCTGGAGCGATAGCACAGCGGGTAGGGCGTTTGCCTTGCACGCAGCTAACATCTGTTAGTAATTAACTATAAATCTTGTATTGCTTTAAAATATTCCATTACAAAAAAAAAACACCTTAAAAATAAACAAAGCATAACAAAACAAAACCCCAAAGAAATAAAAGTGGGGTAGAGACATGAAAATGGAAATCCATTGGTAACTGGTGAAACATATAATCCAATGGTAACTGGTGAAACATATAAATAAGCATATTGGTATTTAATATACTTCTTTTTTTTTTTTTTTTTGGATTTTTGGGTCACACCAAGCAATGCTCAGGGCTTATACTCCTGGCTCTTTACTCAGGAATTGCTCCTGGCGGTGCCTGGAGGACCATATGGGATGCTGGGGATTGACCCAGGTTGGCCGCAGCAAGACAAACGCCCTGCCCACTGTATCACTAGGGCCCAGATTTCTTTCTATCATGTTATATGTTCAAGATAGCCTAAAATATTTTTAAAAGTGATTTTTCACAGAAGGAACCCAAGGTTTCATTGTATAACTTGAAGAGGTTAAAGAAATGCGTGTGCAACAAGCAAACTTTAAAAGGTGCCAGTTGAGACAGCAGGCTATAGGGTGAGGCACACAGGGCCTGGGAATGCTGGTGGAGGGAAGCTGACGCTGATATCAGTGACGAAACATCCCATGCCTAAAACCCAACTATGAATAACTTTTCAAAACACGGTGCTTTAAAAAAAATTTTTTTGGAAACAAAAATAAAAAAAGTGTACTGGTTATACTGCTTTATACTGGTTTTGCTTTAAAGTTCATCTCTAATTCTCTAAATATACTTTAAATAATGAGTAGCAGAGCAAAAACTAAGAACAACAGGAAAGCTGATTTTACGAAGAGTAGTCAATAAGTAGAAAAGTCCAAGACAGATAGGAGCTAATATGTGATAGCAAATCTAGATAAGCAATGAAAGAGTCATTAAAATATGCCTGGATCAGTAACCAGGTGATAAACCTTCAGGAATGACTAAGCTGATAGGAAGAATTTTAATAGCAAACTGTCAGTTTTGCTTCGTGTCCATCACTGCTAACTAGTCATTCATTTCTAATGGGGAGTTTTTCATCTCTTACTCACGAGTTATATTTGACCAATTCCTTTTCCACACTGAGATGTAGAGGACAACAAACTGTGAAATGTACAGAATTTCTTACTGAGTGGAATAGCATGCAGTGTCCTATCCGAGACTGGATGTCCTCCGGGCCAGCGTTACAGGAGTCCTCGCGAAGAAGTTTCCAGGTTTGGCACTGACAGTTGAAAGCAAACAGACCGCTGAACTGAGGCTCACTGGCTCTGCTGTCGTCCACGCTGCCGTTACACGTCAGAATCCGGCCGCCAAAAGTGTAGATCATGTGCTTTTCCGAGTCCATACACATCTACCAGAACAAAGCAACAGAGTCAATAGCATTAGATTGTCCTTCCCTAGGAATGAGGCCATTTAGGTTCCCAGAAAAAGTAAACTCTGTCTTAATACTACTAAATACCAGTCCCTGGTCATCACATGGAGTTACTGTAATACTGCTTGGCACTCACTGGGCAGAGATCCAGAAGGGATTTCAAGTTTCCCTTTCTCTCCCAGCGACAGTGAAATATACGGGGTCCAAAAACTATCCTTTCTCGAAACTCTGTAATCTCCATCATATAAATATGATATACAAGTGACGGATACATATTGGCACTTTACATATCAACAATAATACATAAGGTGCTGATATATACCGAAGAGTAAATATTCTTGCTCATACTCTGAGGTAGCTACTGCTCTTTTATATCCTTATTATTGTATCCTTTTTTATCCTCTCTTTTATTCTAAGCGATTATTATATTAAATTTGCTACCATTTAATAAAAGAGAAGATAGGTGAATAAGAATGATGCAACTAAACCCATCTTTCTGCATTTACTTCTTTCAAGTCATATTCTTACAAGTGGGTGAAACAGAAAAAAATGCTTGCTTTTGGCAGTACATACACTAAAGATGGAAGAATACAGAAAAAACTGGTGTGGTCCTGGGCAACAATGACATGCAAATTTAGTGAAACATTTCACTTAAAAAATGCAAGAAGACATTTAAAGTAGTTTCTAGACAAATTTTCTAGAGTATGATGAATCTTTCTTCCTTTTACCCTAATAGTATAAATGTAATTGTGTGACACGTTATGCTATTTTTGTTCAAGTCAAACCTGACTTTTCTATTGCCTCAATTCAAGGGAATTATGACCTTTTACAAAAACATCTGTGAGAAAACAGACACCTGTCACTAAGTCAGTAAGAACAGATTCTACACCTGCTCCTAGGAATCCCGGCAGCTGCCAACTTCCAGAACCCAACGAAAAGTCCAGGTACGCGGGATCTGTGAGGGAAACGCCAGGCCATAAGGGATAGGGGGTGGGTCAGTACTTCCCATCTCCTCATCCCTATGAGACCCTGGATGTCACGCCCACAAACTGCCTCTGGCTGCTATTTAAGCTCATTAATGGCCATGATCCAGAGACACACAAAAGAATCTCAGAACTGAGCAGCTCACTGCAGAAATTTCTCCAGACCCTAATTATCTAAAATTTTAGAATTCTAGAAGAGTGTGGCCACGAGTATGCTATTCATAACAAGTAATGCAAAAAAATTACCTAGCACCTGCCTTTTCAGGAGGTTTGAGCAGTGGTGGGAAAATTCAAAGATAATGGTTGTGGGAAGGTGTAATGGTGGTGGGACTGGTGTCGAAACAGTGAATGTAATCCATTATTGTGAACAACTCTATGAAAATAAAATTTAAAAACTTTTTTGCAAACATCTCTATACCTATAATAGTCCTCTTCTCATTAAAAAGAAAAAAGGTATCTTCCTTATTGTGGTGCAATCTTCAGACTGTAAACATTTCCCAGTTGTTATCAAAGAGATAATTCTGAGTATTGATTCGGAATTGCCTATTAATAATTAATACATTCATCCTGTTCTTTATTTGGTCCTCATTTGTATACTCGGTGTTTTCACTGGAGCAAAGGATTGGACAGAATTAGAATGTTCATAACAACTAAAGCAGAACAGGGGCTGGAGGAGCACAAGCTTCGCATGCTCAGATTAGAAATATATATAACTGCTTCAAGATTTGGTATATGATATAAAATAAAACGCTTAGAATTTTTATTGAGCTCAAATCATTAATTTACTAAAATAAAATAAAAATTTAACTTAAAAAGAAAAGAACTAATTGTATTTCAAAGATTACGTGCAACTCCAAGGTGGAAATTAAACGATGAACAGGTGGCATAAAGAACTGTTAACATTAAATATATTTTTGCTAAAGCACAAACATTAAAGTCACTGAAGTTCAATTTTCTCCTCCACCAAATTAGTTCTACTTACCTGTTTTTGTATATTTTAAGAATATATATAGAATATATATGAGATTTTATATATCCATACACATACACACATGCACTTAACACACACACTATATGCGTGTGTGTTTACGTTTTGCCAGGATTGTTCCAAAGCCTCACCAAGAGTTCTGCCACTGTCTCATCCGTGGCTCTGACATTAATATTATAAAAATTCTAGCATTCCCAAATTATACCTATCACTACAAAGACCCACTAGCTACTTCTCAGATTTCTGGCAGACTGCTCTAAGTTAGCATGGAAATGTATTCCATAAGGGTGGAGTCTTAGTGAAAAATGGGTGAAAAACTGAGATGTCAAAGCTTTCATTTCCTGGCACTGGAAAGAAAATGTTCCTACTCTTCCATCATACCATTGGAGCCAGAAAAAGTGTACAGGGAGTAATTAGGGTGCATGCCTTGCAAACATGGTCCCCAGATCATGTCTGGGTGCAACCCCGAGGGCCCTGACCATGCCGGGTTTGGCTCTGGTGGCCTCTGAGCACTGTCAAAATGCCCCAAAAAATAGAAAATAGAAAAGATAAAAACCAATCCATTTGGCTGAGCACAATCTAGTAGTCATTCAACAACTGTGACTTTGTCTAGGGCTACAATAAGGCCAGGTCACATTACTCTGTCCCAGGTTCATAAGGTTCAAGTCTCCAAAACCCAGGGGATCATGCTGCAAGTTACACGAGCCCGGTACATTTTCATAAATCCATACCATTTGCCCCATCTCTGTTACAAATTGCTACAAAGACGTTTTTCTTTCCTTCTGGGGATATTTAAGTTTAATTTGGACGTGGCTACACTCATTTATTATTAGGGATAAAGCATAAGCATTTTTATCTTAGTAGCTCACTTCAGCTCACAAGCCCAAACCAACCCAAAAAAGGAATTAACTACTGTATTAGCTCCGTAATTCTTTCCAATATCTTAGGACAAGCATGACACAGAAAAGAAACCATTTTATTCTTTCAGCTACCTAAACTTGGTTTTTATGGTTAAGCATGCAGTTTCAATTAGGGTCAATTATCAAATAACAAGATGTTTTAATCACTGTAGGAAACTTTGTACAGTTCATCAGTTATGGCTAACTTTTAATCCTTTTTTTGTTTTGAATCTCTGAAAATGTTTCAGCAAAGATAATAACTTATTAAAACAATGTCTGATTAAGTTCAGCTTCACTTCTCTCAATGATTAAAAAAAAAATTAAGTTCCAAGTTCATACTGAGAAAAGCTAAAGATCTAAATTCTAGATATCTAATTTCTAAAATCAAATGAAAAGTACATAACCTTTTATCTCCCCTCTCCAATTATTCTTAACTTGAAAGAATATTTTATTCTATCATGCAGACACACAAGGTTGGAAGGGTTAAGCTGAGTTCAACATAACGTTTTTCTTGTTATATTTGAAGGTATTTCTAAAAAGCCTTCTAAATACCCCCGTGTTTCTCAATGAACTCCCACCACTGTCAAAGACTGCTTTATGCCAACCTGACTCTGCCTACCTACAAAGTGACCAGTTCTCTCTTGACCTTTAGGGTTTCGTTTCCTCTTACTCCTTGGTACTGAAATGTCCTTACAGATGTACTGAGATAGATATTCTTTTTTTATTCATCCTGCCCTCTGCCAGGTGGTTTTCTCATTTTGAAAACCGTCTCTTTAAAGCAATAGGAGTTTCCTTCAATTCTACCTCAAATATTTTTTTGTCCCCATTTTCTTTCTATAATTCTACTAAGCAGATACCAGAACTTCAGGATCCTTTTCTGTTAATGTCAGCTAATTAAGTTACCATTTAGATATGAATGTTCATTCTAGTTTTTAATCAATTTAATTGAGATTCCACTAGCAAATGTTTACAACTTTTCCAGGTAATTTATCTTCATGGATATAAAAATCTCCTGATGTGCTTTAAAGAACATCACCTAAACTTAAAGCCTTCTTTAGTTTTAGTGTGAACTTGCTATTTTTCTTTACTAATTCTGATTTATTGAGTTTAGCACCCAATTCTTATAATACTATCTTCAAACATCTGAAACTTTGTTGTTGCTATAGTTTTCATATAGGAGAATCCCTATTCATCTGCCTTGCAGGTATAGTAGCATGCAACCTACCACACCCTGCATACCTACCTACCAGACCCTGTAAATGAACCTACCATACCCTACACATCAAGCTATCATTCCCTACGCATCAAAGTACCATAACCTACATATCAATCTATCCATACCCTACAATCAGCATACCATACCCTACACATCAACCTACCATGTATATCAACCTACATTATCAACCCTACATTACCAACCTACCATACTCTACATATCAATCTACCAAACTCTACATACCAACCTACCATGCCCTACATTTTACCCTACCATGCCCAACAATCAAGGGACAACATGGGAGCTAATGAGAGGCAGTGAATGATTTCACAACAGCTCTCTGCTGCCCCTTGGGCATTCCGTTTTACCTTTCCTGCCCCCAAATCCATACTCAGCATCTGATCTATAGGCTCTTGTCACTGCTAAGTGCTACTAAGTCACATGGAGACTCCGTCCTATTCAGTTTCCAACTGATCATGCAATGTTTGTCACAGCTCTATACATTTTTTAAATTCAAGTGAATGCATTCCTTAAAGATTCCAGCATCCCTCCCACCCCCAACCCCCATTCCACCCTGCTGAATTTGATCCAATTTGTCTTCTTACAGGCATTCTTCTAAAAGTTTTTAAGTTCCTCAAGCGGTTCACTCCTGTTTGTCAATGTGATTATTAATGGATTCTCCTATCATCTCACTGGTTATGGGGCAGGAGGAAGGTAAAAAGATATGGCCAGCTGCCAAAGACCCACACTGTCCCAGGAAGAATGTCAATGAGCTGAGATCTCCAATCCTTTTATCGAAGTTCCTTTTACTATTTCTTGGCTAGCTCATATTCCATCTTCTCATAATTTCCTCAAAAAGTATTCAAATGATGGGATGGCTAGATATAAAATCCTTGGCTCACATTGTATTATTATTTTAATTTTTCTTTTGGGGCAACATCAGGGGGTACTTGGGGCTTACTCCTGGCTGGGCTCAGGGGACCATCTGGGGTGCTGGGGACAGAATCTGTGTCAGCCATGTGCAAGGCAAGAGTCCTACCTACTGTAACTACCTTCTCAGCTCACACTATTTTCTTGAATACATTCTCGGATGCTGCTCCATTGTCTCCTGGGGCAAATAAAATGGTAGAGAAGTCTGATACCAGTCTTACTTACAGGTGTTTTGATCTAGCTGTTTTGAAAATTTTAAAAGCCTATTATTTTTGAAATCCAGTGTTACTAAGATAGTTCTGAGATTTTGAAGGCCTAGGTCAATTTCCCCTGTATACAGCACCTTTTGACAGATGTCATCTTACTTTGAGAAAGACTTTATGAAATTTATTTATCTCTCCCATTTTTTTGCTTTTATTTTTTAATATCTCCAAAGTGTATGTTGGCTCTCCTTTGCTATGTTATTTCCTGAGGAATCCCTATTGTTCTCTCTCTCTCTACTCTTCCTTCTCATGATCCTGAGATTCTGACCTATTCTTTATTCTTCTTTATACCCTTTATAGTTTACTCTGCATTTCTAGGTATACTGTGTTTTTCTCCAATTTCCTTCTTGAGTTCTCTCATTTCACTTGTTCCTTCTATTTGATCTCATCTATAGTCTTGCACTGTGGCTTTCTTCACAGTTTCACGATTCATTAAATTATCTACTCAGGGTGTTTAGAGGATCCTCCCAGGAGGGGAAATGCATGTTGAAAGTAGACTATGGACTGAACATGACTGCCACTCAATGCCTCTTTTGCAGACCACAACACCCAAAAGGAGAGAGAGAACAAAGGGGAATGCCCTGCCACAGAGGCAGGGTTGGAGGGGGGGTGGGGGGAAATGGGCACTGGTGGAGGGATGGGTATTTGATCATTGTATGACCGAAACCCAAGCACAAAGATTTGTAAATCTACAACTGTACCTCATGGTGCTTCACTAATAAAAAAAAAAAAAAAAAAAAGGAAAAAAAAATGATCTACTCCACATTAGAGTATGGGGTATGCAATTTTTTCCGTGTTCTTTCTCACTGTACTGTTTTATCTTAGAATGCCTTCCTGGAAGTCTTGTGTTTAACATTTCTTTATATTTCTCTTAGTTAAATGAGCTACCATTCCCTAGCCAGATAACAGGATCGTGTAGGAGATTGGAGCCTTGGGAGGCGAGGGTCTCCTCTGGACCACTGGGAAGCGGACTACAGAATGCCAATTCCACAAACCCTCCAGTCTCAAGAGCCCTAATCCTTCATCAATCACAGCAGATGAAATCTTGTCCCTAGGCATCACGGTGCTCCACACATTTTAGGAGATGGTACATCCTGACATCTATCCCCGGCTCCACCTTCCCGAGCACTTCCCACAGTCACCTTATTGACTCCCCCCAGTGCTGTTCATGCCAGACCCACTGTGAAACACTCTACGAGGCACCCTCTTACTTCCATTCCTCTCCCTTCTACTGCCTGGGCTTCCACGCACTTTCTGGGCATTCTGTTGTCTTTGGCTAAATTTACAAATAGTTGTGGGTTTTCTTTGGCTGCTGATTTTGCTGAATGTGGCCCCTCTTTTATTTAAGATTTTTTTTGTTTGGTTCTCATTGTTCCTGAAAAATCACACCAACCAACAACAACACGAAGGGTTTCAGAACTACACTGTGACTCTTTTCCTAAGAAATCCAAAGTCCCTGAATGCATAGTTTTGAATAAGGCAAAATCTTAAAAAGGAGAAGTACTACCTAGTGATGTCTTTATGACTCTAGCTTTTTCACATTCTTCACAAATTCGAACATTCAGTGTTAAATACTGTGCGAGGAACAATCCCAAGTAATTTTGCTGTGAATTCTATTTTATTGCTTTACATGCAAAAAAAAAAATAGAATAGCGGCTTTTATAAATCATGCTAATTACTTAAGGTCACAGAGCTAGTTGTTAGCTGAATTAGGGCCAAAATCCTGGTTTCTGCACTCCTAGTATTCAACTATACCATCTAATCAGTTGAAAATCAAGCATTATTTAACAGAGCCTAGCTCCCAAAGAACAATCTCTATTTTATCAAAGTCAAGAAAAACAAAAGCCACACACAAAGACAATATGTGTGCTGTACTCGAGACTACCCTTAAGCTATTCTTTTTTATTTTCCAACCTGTAAAAATAAAGGCATAAGCATCATTTGGAAGAGAAATTTGTAACCACTTGGAGGCAAGAAAATAAATTGTTTCCCTAACAATGTTATCTGCTGATGTTCTGTTTTTAAAAGATCAGAACCTGCCTAACTTTGGGGGGAATTCTTATTTTCCACAGGAACAACACTGGGGATGCCAGCAGGGAAGTGCCTATCTTTGACAAGCTTGGTTATGTAGAGCCAGCAATGTCCCAAATTCCAAATCCATTCCATGTGGGATGTATTTTAAAGATTAATGTTTTTGATTTCCCACCCACCATTTGATAGGCACACATGCGCACACACGCACACATCTCTAGTTCCTCCTTTCCTTACCGTTCATTCTCCTATGAACAACTGCTTATTAATATAAATACAACAGCACAATAGTTTCAAAGCAGAGAATATAAATCTGTAAAGATACAAAAACTAATGACTTAGAAATTCAAACCAAAGTCCAAGTCTGTGATAATTCATGTTCTATTTGGCAAGTACTAGATTAATGTTATGTTCATCAATATACTGATAAAGATTTTTTTGTGAGTTTAATTTTACACCCTATACTCAAATATCTCAACCTGAGCTGACTTGCACACAATTCTCTATAGCACTGCACTGTCCTCTCGTTGTTCACTGATTTGCTCGAGCAGGCACCAGTAACATCTCACTGCGAGTCTTGTTACTGTCTTTGGCATATTGAATATGGCACGGGGAGCTTGCCAGGCTCTGCCATGTGGGTGGGATACTCTTGGTAGCTTGCAAGTCTCTCCAAGAGGGACAGAGGAATCAAACCCGGATTGGCTGCGTGCAAGGCAAACACCCTACCTGCTGTGCTGTTGCTCCAGCCCATAATTGCCAATAAATAAAAAATTATTACTTTTTGTACTGACCTATCCAGCACCCAGATGGAGTAAATATTCAAAGAAATAGCAATGAAAATGGCTCTAGATTTCAAGTTATTTCAACTCATTACAAAGTTATTTTAAACTCTTCCAGGAATATAGTAAAAAGCTTTAAAATGGCCAGCTGTTGTTGCTATTTATCATAAAAAATAGTTTCTTCGTAAATATATTGCTAAACATACTCTCTAAAGTTTTTATAATTGTGCTGAGACCTTCGTATTTTATTCTGTCCTAAGTAAAAAGGGAAAAGTGTTAAAAATAACTTTGTGCCCCTAATGGTCATTTTTAGGGGAAATCATTTAGAGACAACTTATCAAACGAGTGAAATAAACTCTAAGAGCCAGCGTTACTGAGCATGAGTAAACGGCTTCATCTCTTTATCTGAGCCCCCACCTGATGATCAAACACCAATTTCGGTCCTCCGTCGGCGGCAGTGTCCTCGCTGAGCAGCATCCATGTGTTTGTGTCAATGTCATAACGATAAAAGTCACTTTTCAGAGATTTGCTGTTCCTCACAGAGGAATCCAGATAACGCCCCAATGTGTAGATTTGCCTTCGTTGAATGTCAATGCACATTTTATGACACGATCTGGCACTGGGGCCATTCTGTAGAGAGGATGGGGGAAAAAGAAGATGAAGAAAAAAAAACAAATAGAAAATCAAACTAAATGTTCTGTTCTTTAAACTTTCGTTACAGGGTTTACTCAGAAACTCATATCCGATCAACTGATTTAAGTACATGGGGTTTAAATCTCTAAAGGAAAGCAAAAGAAATAGTAGGAAACATTAATCTTAATTTAGAAATTGTTAACATCTCCAGGAAGGATGAATTATTCTGTACCTTATGGTAATCTGTACCCTCTGGCATTAGTTCTAACACTGAAATGGCTTCTATTATATATTCATTGCATTTTAGTCACTGCTGCACAGAGCTTAATTCTAGAGCACATATCAATCTATTTAAGGATACTTTTGGTCGTTTAAAACATCTTCGCAATTCTCATCAGAATTAAAAACAAAAAAGCAATCCAAGAATACTTAGAATCTCTGAATCATAACTGGAAGGAACCTTAACAAAACTTGTTTGTTTCTCTCCTTTTATAGATGACAAAATGTAAACTGAAAGAGAAACGGAATCCTGAAAATTTGTAGGCTAGTGAAAGAAGCAGAATGAGAACTCAAATTGTTGACTTCTCCGTTATATTACATAAAAACTGATTAAAGTAAAAAGTAAAGGCCCTCCCGTTGATCATCAATTTGCTCGAGCGGGCCCAGTAACGTCTCCTAACTTAATAAACAATATTAACCCACGAACAACAGGAAATATAGTACACTACACGCAAAACTGGCTGAGACTACCTGAATTAGCAACAGTGGGTAAAAGGTTAAAAAAAAAGAAGAAGAAGAAGAAAAAACCGTAGACAGAGGAGACCGGACATGATCTTACAGCAATGAAGGGCTATTATGCCTCCAGAGCAAAATAAAACACAGAACAGGCTTTTTTTGGGGGGAGGGGGGCGAAGAGTAACCTAGCATACTTATTTAGATTAAATGAACAAAGATTAGGCAGGAACAGTTTGACAGTAAGTGCTAACTAATCAAAGATACCAAGTTATTTTGAATCTGCACTTCAGTATATCATATTAATTGCTATTTTAAAACTTAAGAGATTTTATTTTGTCATGGAAAGTCTTTAGAATATGTTAGAAATTTTGCTTGAAGGGATTTCCTCCATAATTAAATAACTCTGAAAACAAAGATGGGGGCTGGAGAGATAGTACAGAAGGGTGGGCACTTGCCTTGCATATGGCCAACTGAGGTTCAATCCCTGGCAGTGCCCCGAACTCAGCCAAGGGTAATCCCTGAACTGAGCTGCAAGTTCACCAAGCTGCTATTTGCAAGTAACACTATGTAATCGAAAGTCAACTACCAATCCAAACACGTTCATTCACACAATACGGTCATGGAAGACAGTCTCCTAAAAATGAAGCATAGTTGAAATGTGGGCTGGAGCAATAGCACAGAGGGTAGGGCGTTTGTTTGCCTTGCATGCAGCCAACACAGCCGACCCGAGTTTGATTCCCGGAGACCTGGGCAAGCTACCAAGAGTGTCTCGCCCACATGGCAAAGCCTGGCAAGCTACCCGTGACGTATTCGATATGCCAAACACAGTAACAACAAGTCTCAAAATGGAGATGTTACTGGGCCTGCTCGAGCAAATCAAACAACAGGAGGACACTGACAGTTGCAAATGTTAAAATGTATGTTCTAAAGAAAAATGAGAATTCTGGAAAACTTCAGGCTTCCACTGTGATCTTGATACCTAACAATACAACTTTTCCAATAAGACGAACAGAACTTTCACTGACTGAATGACTGGGTTGTGGGCCATACCTGGCAGTGCTAGGGCTCACTCCTGGCAGGGCTTGGGTACTAGGGATCGAATCTCAGTCAGTTGTGTGAAAGGCCAGTGACTAACCTCTACACTACAGCTCACCAACAGAGCTTGAAAATTGTATAACAAAATAAGCCAACTTCTGGAAGATGTGCTTAACTCAGGGAACCAATATTTTAGATATCAAAATAACTTGCATGGGTAAAAAAGTTATTCAAAGAGCTGAGCAGACCAACGGATTTCAATATTAATGAAATACAAGAAGTACATGAAATCTAAGCAGAGAGGATTTTAGAGGGTATAATTCAGTTTGCCTTAGGAAACAACCATATAGACTAAGGGGGAGAGCTTAGGGGTCAGGAACACAAACCATATGGCCCCTGAGCACCACTGGGTGTGGTCCAAGTGGCCCTCTGTACGGGTGGGCCCTCACGGCTTCACATGGTCGAACTTCTGCATTGAACCACCCAGCCCAGTTGGCCAAAAATGAGCGGGGATGGTCAACCTACCCCAGGGAATCACCTGTCAATCTGAAATGAGACTGAAACGTAAAATGAGCCATTACCTACAAAAGACTATTAAGACAGTACTTTCTTCTCCAAAACCATCACTATGGGAGGTCATCTATCTTATACAAACATCAGCTGTAAGAATCCAGCTCTCGGGGCTGGAGTGAAAGTAGTCAGCTTGCCAGCAGCTGACCTGAGTTTGAGCACCACATATCCCTAAGCCCTGTTAGGAGTGATCCCTGAGCACAGATAGAAGCAAGCCCTGAGCATAACTGGACGTGGTCCAAAAATAAACAAACAAAAGAATCCAGCTCCCTTCCACTAGCACAAAAACTAAAAAGATTTATGAAAATTCAAAACTAAAAAAAAAAAAATCATTTCAAATACAAAAAATCTTACTTGCATAGCTTCATAAACAATTTAAATTGTTCTAACATTTGAAGCAGAACATCATCTTACAATCTCCTAAAAGTACTACTAGATATATTTAGGTGTAGCACTGTAGCACTGTCCTCCCGTTGTTCATCGATTTGCTCGAGCGGGCACCAGTAACGTCTCACAACAAATTTTGAGACTTGTTGTTACTGTTTTTGGCATATCGAATAGGTCACGGGTAGCTTGCCAGGCTTTGCCGTGTGGGCGAGATACTCTCAGTAGTTTGCCAGGTTCTCCAAGAGGGGTGGAAGAATCGAATCTGGATTGGCTGCGCGCAAGGCAAACGCCCTACCTGCTGTGCTATTGCTCCTGTCCATATTTAGGTGTATTACAGTAAATTAACTTCACTTTTGAAAGTATGTGTCACTGTCACTGTCCTCCCGTTGTTCATTGATTTGCTCGAGCAGGCCCAGTAACATTGTGAGACTTGTTACTGTGTTTGGCATATCGAATATGTCATGGTAGCTTGTCAGGCTTTGCTGTGCAGGTGAAATACTCTCGGTAACTTGCCAGGCTCTCCTAGAGGGGCAGAGGAATCGAACTCGGATTGGCCATGTTGGCTGCTTGCAAGGCAAACACCCTACCTGCTGTGCTATCGCTCCAGCCCTGAAAGTATGTTTCATTCTTTTTAAAACACATGGTCTAGCATATAGTCAAATGGTAACATGACTCACTGGTATATAGCATTACATGAAATGTACAAAAATGTACAGTTTTAGAAGAAATCAGCCTTTTTGCAAAGACATATACTGTCATTCAAGTCACATATCCACAAAAGGTTTTTAGGTGTATGTATCACGAAAATCATAATAAACCAGAAGAGATCTCACCCCAGTGTCGAGGTGCCATTTTATGCATCTCTATTCACTTCAAAAGTGAAACAGTGTGCTCTAATCAAAATAATCTGTATTTTTTCAGCCCAATTTTTATTTGTTTTTATTTTGGGCAGTGTGGTTTACATATTGTTAGTAGTTTCATGCATGAACAATTTCAGCGCCACATCCTCCACGCCCAAGTGTCCACTTCCCTCTCCCATTGTCCCAGAGCGCTCACGGTAGAGTCCTACTGAAATTCTCAGTTTCTGCTTTGGACATTTACTGTTTTTTATTTTTTAATGTATTCTGTATATGAGAAAGATTATTCTGAGTCTTTTCCTCTCCTTCTAACTTCACTCGGCATACTTTCCAGCTCTATCCACACCGCAACAAATTTCTTTTTTTTTTCTTACATCCGAGTAGTTTTCCAATGTGTATATACAGTTTCTTTATTCAGTCCCCTGTTCTTGACGTCTGGGTTGTTTTCAAATTGTGGCAACTGTGAGTAGTATTGCAAATGTCTGTTCTACACTGAGTTGTTGGATCCTGAGGTAAATTCTCTTGAGGTAAGTGTGTAAGCTCAATTCCTAGTTTTTTGAAGACAATTTTATCTTCCAAAAAGGCTGAACCAGTCAACATTCCCACCAGCAGTGAATGAGGTTCCCTTCTCCCAACATCCATGCTAACACTGATTGTTTTTGTTCTTCATGATGTGTGCCAGACTCACTGGCATGAGATAATAACTCATTGTCTTGATATAATTTCCCTGATGATAAGTGATGCAGAGTATTTTTCATATACCTTTTGGCTGTCTTCTTTGAGTAAGTTTCCTCTGTTCATCTCATCCTCCCATATTCTGATGGGATAGATTTTGTTTTGTTATATTTTTTTTTTTGGTGTTCTACTAGTGCTTTATACATCAGCATAAATTTTAGTGATTAATCATGTTTAAAATAATTTAACATATAGAAAATGATATAAAAATACTACACATTTAACAGGTTCAAAGTAGAACATTAATATTACCTGAGGCCCATAAACTATTCTCCCACCAAAGCAGTCCCTCTACTAGGTTTCAGTTATCTTCCCCTGGCTTTTCTTCAGCATTAACTCTTTGTGCAACTTATCTCACTAACTGACTCACAATAGTGTTATGTCTATAGAAACACACTGCCAACTGTGCTGATTTAGGTAGACCCGGTCTCCCAGCCCAGATCCCTGCCCTGTCGGAAGGCCCAGCGCTCCACCCACATCTGACTTCCGCTAGCAAATAAAAGTCCCAACTGAGACACCATGCTTATGACTCATCCTAGTTCCACAGCTCCTGGAGCGCACGGCTGCATATGCAGCCATGCAACATCTCCAAATTTCACAGTACTGACAGTCCAGCAAATATCAGAGCAAATCAGATAGGAAAACAGCACAGAAGCTCACTAAGCAAGTGAAAACAATTTAACACAGAAGGCTCAGCCAGAATCTAACAGCTCACTAAATACTCATACTTTACTAACACCATCATGAGATATATGTTGTAACAAGCAATATAAAGTACATTATTTTGTGCCTGCTAAGGGGGCCGGCTCGGGGCAAGGTGGGTGGGTAACTGGGGACACTGGTGGAGGGAAGAGTACACTGGTGGTGGGATTAGTGTTGGAACATTGAATACTTAAGACAACTGTATTATGAACAACTTTGTAAATCATGGTATTTAAAAAAAGTTTCAAACATTGAAAATGCATATGATTCAAGTTAAGGGATTCAGAATCTGGACAGGGAAACAGGAATGTAAACCAACCATTAAAGTAACCCACTCAAGGAATATATGGAGCTTAATGGGCACACCTCCAAAGGAGTTTCTAATTATGAGTGCAGAGGTCAAAAGAAGCATCACAGAGGAAGCCTCAACTTGAAGTGACAATAATAGTAAGTGCTTCTACTAACAGTAACAGTAGCAATAACTGGGTGCATGGGATGAGAAGTCTTTTGGGCCCACAGAAAACACCATTGCCAAAGGAAAAAAAGCTGAGAAAGCCAAATTAATTCTAGAAACTACAAAAATGGCTGGCATATAAAGTCAAGAGATAAGGCCATGAAAGTAGATGGAAACAGATTTGACAAGAAAAACTTGTCAATTACCAATATGAAGACTTTAAACAAAATGAAATACACAGCTTTACTACTGTTAATATTATTATTCACAGTGGTAGGGCGTTTGCCTTACAAGCGGCCAACATGGCCGACCCGAGTTCGATTCCTCTGCCCCTCTCGGAGAGCCCGGCAAGCTACCGAGAGTATTGGATATGCCAGACACAGTAACAACAAAGTCTCCAATGGAGACGTTACTGGGCCTGCTCGAGCAAATCGATGAACAATGGGAGGACAGTGACAGTGACAGTGACAGTGACATTATTCACACTTATCTATGTTTATACCTAATACCCAATGATAATGAACTTGGTCATATAGTTTCTTCTGGACAAGGGGACAAAAACAAAGGGGATGAAAACAAATATCCTACTTTATTCCTCCAGCCCCTGACTGAGGATGGGTCCCAGCCGGCCCAGAGGAAGGTGAGCAACTATCAGAACCACAGGGTCTCCGCTGAAACTAGTCAGCACAAAAGGAAAAACCAAGTCAAAGCAACAGAAACCAGTAAGACCAGGATGCAAAACAAGTGCTCACTATTAAATGTTACTGTAGTTTTGTGAAAATCTGTAAAAATCTAACAAAGAATTGAAACAGGGACTGAAGCTAACTGCAGGGTTTAAGAATCACACAATGGGGCTGGAGTCATAGCACAGTGGGAAGGGCGTTTGTCTTGCACGTGGCAGACCCGGATTCGATTCCCAGCATCCCATATGGTCCCCTGAGCACCGTCGGGAGTAATTCCTAAGTGCATGAGCCAGGAGTAACCCCTGTGCATCGCTGGGTGTGACCCCCCTTCCCTCCCAAAAAAAAGAATCATATGACAAAAGATTTTTTATAGACTGTATTAATGAATGGAGAAGAGACCTGGGAATCTACAATGGAGGCCAAAAATGTTTGAGAAATTTAAGTTGAGAAAGAAAGAAAAAGATGTAAGAAACACAATAGTGGGTACAACCTGGGCACTAACTGGATACAAAAAAGAGGAAGGATTTCATGGTGAAACCTGGTCTTATTCCAAGAATATCCAAATACGCAACCAAACTAGATTGAAAGAGTTTAAAACATATATAAGCTAGGTATTTTTTTTTAATCAAGAACTGAAATAATATTTTCACACTAAAACAGCAAAAGCAATCTTTATAGAAATAAAAAGGAAAAAAAAATCACAGAATTTTAAGATCGCTTTGAAAAGGTAAAACCTAGCGAAGGAGGGGATAAGGAGAGAGCTGAAGGGTCTAGAGTGCGTTGCTTTGCAGGTGCAAGGCTCCTAGTTTGATCCCTAGTACCACAAGGGTCCCCAAGCACTGCCAGCAGCAGAGAACCACATGAAACTAGTCAAGCAGCCCCCACAGCCCCCAGTCGCCAGCCCTCAGCAACACTACTCAGAAACCAAAGCCCAAATCAAAGCCAAAAACCCACTTGATTAATCATTAAAGCACATCGAATATGCAAGAAATCAATTTCCTAGGATGTGGGTGTTGTTTTATTTGTTTTGGGGTCTCACCCAACAGTGTTTAGGAGTTTCTCCTGGTTCTGTGCTCAAGGATCACTCCTGGCAGGCTTGGGGAACCATCTGGGATATGAGGAGTCAAACTCATCTTGTCCATGTACAAGGCAAATGCACTACCTGCTCTATTATTGCTCTGGGCCTGGATTTTATTTTTAAATGGTCTTATTTAAAAAAAAAAAATCAATGAACTTTAAATGAGCTCTTTTCCTCTTTCTGATTTGCAGTTACTACTATTTTGTTACTGTTTATTTTTTACCTTATAATCTGAAATGGAAAATAGAGGTACAATAAATTCTATACATATCTGGAAAAAAATCAATGTCATATTATTCAAAGCCATAAACTTAAGTTTTTTATTCACTAAGGACATATTCATATACATATATACTATTACTTTACATGTAAATAGATACACAGATGCACCTATTAAATGTTAGTTAAAAATAAATTAAAATGTCATTTGTGAAAAATTGACAGAGGAGCTGGAGCGATAGTACTGCGGGTAGGGCGTCTGCCTTGCACAGGCCGACCGGGTTCGATTCCCAGCATCCTATATGGTCCCCCAAGCACCACCAGGAGTAATTATTGAGTGCATGAGCCAGGAGTAACCCTTGTGCATCACCGGGTGAGACCCAAAAAGAAAAAAAAAAAAAAAAGGAAAAATGATAGATAGTGAACTGTAAGGAATCAAAACAGTGAGATAATTAGAATTCTGAAAAATGAGAATATTTCTTTCCAGAGGTCATCAAAATAAGATGCTCAAAAAATCAGAAAGCGATTTACCTTTCTGGTTAAAGCAATTAAAAACAAAAATCAGAAAATTATGAGAATTTTCCATTTATTTCCATTAAATAGTTCTATCCATACTGTAGCTGAGGAATCAGGTATAGGAACTGAAATGCATGAATACTTAAACCAAATATGGTGACCACAAATTCTGCTGATACACGTCAGAGAAAAAGACCAGTCTGGAAAAGGCAGTACACCACCCTCAACCCCACTGTAATACAGACGTGTGAGAAGCCCAAACACTTGCCTCTTTCTCAGTGTCCCTAGAGATACATGTCCACTGGTTTTCCTTCACGCTGTATGCCCAGAAGTCGGCAAGATCCTGTGTTCCATCCCAGCCACCAAACAAATAAACAGTCTCTATGAAAGATAGAAAAATATGTGTTTATAAAAAAAAGAGCAAAATTTACAATCCAGTTGTTTCCATGATGATTAAATAAGGCACATGTAACTAAACTGAAAACAAAGATTTCATTGGTAATACCTCAAATACATTCTAAACTAGTATCTGTTAAACATCAGTATTTCTTAAACCAGAAAAGGCAGTGGCAGGACCACTATTTTGAGAAATAAAAACAGATAAGTAGATGGCATTCCTTGGGATTCTGATTCCCCACATTTTCAGTGGATACAACAGTCTGTTTGGGAAGTTTCCCAAGTGACCCTAGTGCTCAGCTAGTTAGTCCTGTGTAACAAAGAGAAATCCCTAGAGAAATCTATAACACACAATCTAAGATAAAGACACTTAGCTGCTTCAAAAGAAACCTAGCAGTAAAACTGATTTTTTCATTGTAATACAAACAACAAGACTCAAACTGGCTGAGTGATAGACAGACATCATAAGACTAAACTGCTACATAGCCTTGGAATTCCATGAAAAGGGGTGGGGGGGGGGGGGAGAAAAATTTTCCAAACACATTATGGTAGGTTTAACCCATCAGAAACCGTTAAGTCACATCAGATATATTTTGATAATTTAGTTTTTTCTACCTCTGTGTTTCAATGTTTGTTTGTTTGGGGTCACACTTGGCAATATTCAGGGGTAATTATTACCCTCAGGAATCACTCCTACTGGTACTCAGGGGATCACAAGGGATGCAAGTGTTTGAAGCTGGGTAGGCCATATGCAAGGAAAGCACATTACCCAGCTGTACTATTTCTCTGACCCCATAGTTTTTTCTTCCTCTGAAATGTCTATGTAACATCCATGGACATTGTCACTGAGAAAAATGGATTTCCTACTCCGTGATTAGTGAAAAATATCCTTCACTAATAGCCCTAATCGTCCACTCTTCCTTAGACTAGTCATGCCTCTTTCTTCAAGTAGCCCCCCCTTGGTAGATGTCTTATGTGGGACTCAGCAAGTTCACCAATTACTTTTTGGAGTTAAATAAGACTAGCACAGAAAACTATATAAGCCAGTTAATGTGCCCTAAATCTTTAAATCTTTGTAAGATCTGACATCTTAGTGATGTGTCCCAGGACAGTTTCCATTCCAATGTGGAAGCAGTGTAAAAGTTTTGTCTTTCACATGCTGACTGGCTTCTCAAGAGTTCCCTGTCATATTTTCATATCGTTTCAAATTCTGTCACCATCCTAAGAGCAAATAGTTCTGTGCCTTGATAACCTGGGGAAATCAGAACAATGCCTCTGATAAGGACAACTGATACAGAACTGAGTTCTGGTGCTAATAAGGTACTCAAACAGGTCGCTTCACTTCCCTGGTTTCAGGTTTTTCATTTATAAAACTTTCAGTGTTTTGGCGACGTTGCTTAGGTACATGAAAACATTCAGAGGGCTGTCAAGCACAAATAGAATTTCTATCTTTAAAACATGCACACAAATAAAGAACTGAGCAGTTACTAAATGCACAATTAAGAAGTACGACTGTATCAGACTCCATGTCTCAGTACTTAGGAAACTTCTGGTTCTATATAAATGCAAAATAGGGCAATTTTAGAAATAGGGCTTCTCCAGAAAGAGTTGGTGATGGGTCTGGTGGTGCTGGGGACTGAGGGCTCATGAGAGACTGAGAATGAACTTGGATATTGTACACGGAGATATGTGCTCCACCCTTCTGAACTGTATGTGAAAATGATGTTAAACTATTAAAAATGGTCCTGTTTCAGGGTTGGAGATACGGCTCCAGTGGTCAAGTACATGCCTAAGAGTGTGGCCTTTGGGTTCAATCCCTAAGTACCACATGGGCTCCCCAGCATAGCTGGGTGCCCTGCTGGTTCCTGAGAACTGCTAGAAGAAACACAATCAGAAGCGGTGCTGTTCACCACCCCAAGTAAAGTCCATATCTCAGATCTACAAAACAATCCACTCATAGTTAAATGACATTCTTTTCCCTAAAGTGCACACAGTAATGCCCAGAAATGCAGAATTACATAAAAAATTAAGTTTTTTTCATCTGACATAAAATTATGTGTTAAGGCTTCACGATAAAGGCAATTAACCCTGTTTAACAGTGAAGCCTGGAGAGAAGGGGGCAACTAACTAAAATAGCAATTGACCTTTTGTTTTATATCGTTTCTGGGCACCCTCTGGATAAGGTTACCCTGGTTCATTAACTTTAATAACCCTTCCTCTTGGGCTCTGGGTTCTCAATGTTCTTTCTGAAAAGCAGGTCTCTTTGTACGCATAAATTCTCACAGCAAAGAAAACCCACATTTCCACAACAGCCTCATTGATAGCTGAGCAAAATAAAATCTGGCACAGAGCAAGCATCCCAGTGGAATTAAGCCAAGATGTCATTCTTGTTTGTGAACGCTTTGTGGTTCCAGTTCAAGTCTAATAGTAAAACTGAATGAATTCAATGGAAGCAGGATCTTTGGACATACCTGAACATAATGCCTAACATTCATTTAAATGAAGTATCACATAAGTTAAATAATTCGGAGATCAAATATTATCTAGAAACAAACACCAGAAAATGCATATGTGTGTGTGTGTGTGTGTGTGTGTGTGTGTGTATACACACACACACACACACACATATATATACACATATACCTTTCTGAATCATAAAGAACTAAAGGTTCTTCCAGCCCATGTTCTCCCTTGAACACGTACTTCACTTCCAGTGTCTCTATGATCTTTGCTTGCTTGGTTTTCCACTCTGGAGTAGCTGTGCTCTTTCTCTTGAACACATACTTCCTCTCTTTCCCTTCGCATCTTTCCAAGTTTTGTTCAATAAAAACGATCTTGTTTTGGGGTGGGAGCAATAGTCCAGCATGTAGGGGACTTTCTTTATGTGCAGTTGACCCGGGTTTGATCCCTGGCATCCCATGTAGTACCCCAAGCCTTCCCAGAGTGATCACTGAGCCAGAGTAAGCCATGAGAATGCTGGGTGTGTCCCCAAAACCAAACCAAAACAAAGATAAAAATCTTGTTTCACTTTTTTAAAAGAGTAGCAAACTAAACAGAAGTTAGAGAGAGAGAGAGAGAGAGAGAGAGAGAGAGAGAGAGAGAGATGGTACTAGTTGCAACATAGTAGACTAGTGATAGTGAACTGGATATTCACTGCCATGTTTCTAGGGTATTATTTAAAAATTCACATACATCCTTGGGGCAGTACAATCGCATCAAGCATCAGTGCATTCTGTTATTTTTGCTCTGTATTTAGGGGTCATATCAGGTGCCAGAGTGGGTGGCCTCACACGTATGTTCTTCCACTTGAGCCGCATACCTAGACCCTATTTTTCAAAGGGGTAATAGATGTAGAGCTATTCACTTCTCCTACCACTGAAAGGATCTTTAGCCAAAATATTTGCAAAAAAACATTTTTTTTGGAGGGGGGGCGGGGCGGGTGCCACACCCTCAGCTGTACTCAGGGTTATTCTTGATCCTGGACTCAGGAGTGATCCTGATACCCAAGGGACCCCACACAGTGCACAGAATTTGAAGGGGTGGGTGTCAGTTGCATACAAGGCAAGCATCTTTCCTCCAGTACTCTCTCTCTCTGGTCCTCAACAATATATTTTTAGAACTAATCTGACAAGGTACTTCAGAGAACAAACAGAAGGACTCTGTCCCTATCCTCAAGGAGCTAAATCTAGTCAAAAATTAAAAACGACGACATCAACCACCACAATGTAGACTAAGTGTCAGCACCATGGGAATGCTAAAGATGGAATGAAGTATACCTAGGTGAGGGGATCACGGGAATATTTAAAAGTGACAGAGTAATTAAAGAATTAAATTAAGCAGTGGTGGAAATGTTTAAACGGTGGTGAATAGACTATTCCACTTTAAAAAAATACAACAGGAGATGAAGATAACGTCAAAAAGACAAGTAGGGCTCAGCTCACAGAGGGGGTTAATAACACCAGGAAGGTTTTTATCTTGACTGCAGAGACTGATAGTAACTGAAGACTCTAAGTAGCAGTGTGATAAGATCTGACCTGAATTTACAACATACATGACTCACTGAAGTGGAGTCACCAAGGAAAAAAGAAGGATTAAAAGTAAAATAACCAGTAACAGCCTATATATAAAATGTCAAACCATTTCATTAAAATTAAATGTATCAATTATCTATCTATCTAGTTATTCTTACTCAAGACCCAAACACTGAAATTCAATTAAATTCTTCAGGATACATCTTTTTAGTGACAAGTGCTATACAAACTCTATGGACATTAATTATCTGAAAAAAATCTGTACATCTTTTTAAGTTTCTGGGCCACACCCAGTTATACTCAGGGCTTACTCCTGGCTCTGCACTCAGGACCATATGGGATGCTGAGGGACCATATGGGATGCAGGCGATCAAACCTGGGTCGGTTGTATGTAAGGCAAAGGCCCTATCTGCCATACTATCTCTCTGGCCTCTGTATATCTTAGAGATATTTAAAGTAAGTTAGGAATGTTAACATATGTCTCTTCATTCACTTCTAGGCTTTTCATTTTATGTGCCTAATTCACTGTCTATCCTTCTATTCTAATTCACAGGAATAAACCAAACTGTGCTGATAGCACAATTCTCCACAAGATGGCACACTATTTTTGTAATTAAATCATTTTCCCAATCTGAAACAGTATACAGTGCACTACTATAACGTAACCTAACCTCTGATAAAATTCATGTGTCAAAAAGGAGACACTAAGGACACATACTTCACATATCTGAGGTCTGAGTTTCTGCATCCAATCCCCAGACATCAAAGCCCAAAAACAAGAAGAGGAAGTAAAAGAAGGGTTAGCAGATTAGTGAAGAGAGCTAACATAATTCTTACTTTAATACAGACTCGGAGGAAAAACAGCAAAAAATTGAAGAAATTTACATTCAAGATCAAAATGGAACCTTGCTATGATTATTTCCGTTTGGAAGCTTAATCCTTCTAAAAATACTGGATGATTTCACTCCTCTAGCACATGGGATATAAAGAAACAAAGCAAGGGAGCGGACAAAATCAAACGAAAACAGACCCAGGGACTCTGGGGGTAAGAGGCGTATCAAAGGGTCAATAGGTCGCTGAAAGAGAATATTAGTCTTTAGGTGGTAAGTATGGAATGACAACAAATTTTGAACTTACAAAACACAGTTCTATAAGCCAAGTTACCGCAACAAAAATGAAAAAAATTGAAAGAAGCCTTAACATCCTTAGCCAATTCTGAGCTCGTGACTCAGCAGATTATCAAACGGATTCATCTGCCTTCCTTGTTCAAGAGAGCTATATTCTTTCATAAAGCAAAGAACAATCTTTTTGGTGAATTTAATATGCACTTACATTCCCTGCTAAGGGGTTATATTTTCGGCCATGGTAATATATTTTGTACTCTTTAATTGTCTGTATTTCAGAATTTAAGTCTGTATTTCTCCTAACTGTATGACAGATTCATGTAATCCGAATATACAGAAATACAGAAATATACTAATTTGTGGAGTATAAGATAACATGAGACTGACACCCAAGGACAGTAAACACTAGGGCCAAGAAGACTGCTCCATAGTTGGAAGTCTGCCTTGTGTGTGTGTGGGGGGGGGGGGGGGGGGAAGGGGGAGGGGAGAGGGAGAAGGTAGCTGGAATAGAGAAGGAATCACTAAGAAAATGAAGGTTGGAGGGATCAGTTGGGATGGGAGATGTGTGCTGAAAGAAGTACATAAAGGACCAAACATGATAACCTCTCAGTATCTGTACTGCAAACCATAATATCCAAAAGTAGAGAGAGAGTATGGGGGAAATCGTCTGCCATGGAGGCAGGGGGAGCATGGCAAAGCAGGGGTATACTGGGGAGATTGGTGGTGGAGAATGTGCACTGGTGGAGGGATGGGTGTTTGATCACTGTGTGACTGTAACTCAAACATGAAAGCTTGTAACTCTATCTCACTGTGATTCAATACAATTTAAAAAAGAAATATAGCAATATGATTAGATTTATAATTAATCATCAAAACCATTTAGTTGCTTCCTCAAAGATGATTCTTTAAGGGCTGGAGAGACAGCACAGTGGGTGGGGTATCTGCCTTGCACATGGACATAGCGGGCTGGATCCTGGCATCCCATCTGGTCCCCAGGGCCCACTGGGAGTGATCCCTGAGCACAGAACCAGGAGTAAGCCATGACCACCACTGGGTGTGGGCACACCCCCACCAAAAAAAAGTCTTTACAGACTTCAAGGAAAACTAGTAAGTGGTGCCACGTGTTTTTTTAAAGATGAAAGTGGCTGGAGAGAGTATGAGGTTACGGCGTTTGCTTGCATCTTGCTGACTCTCGTTCAATCCGAGGCATTCCTGAGCACAGCCAGGAGGCACCCGTGAAGGAAATACTTTCACGTAATTGGTACCAAACAGTCAGAGGTTCGAATTTTCAAAGAAGGGTTCTTCTGACAATACCACCCCCTTCTTTTGTAGATACGAAAAAAAAAAAAAAAAAAACTGGGGTTTGCTTGAGTTTTCTACCTATTCTCAGAGAAAGAGAAAAAAAGGCTGGTACCAAACTTACAAAAATTTCAACCACAGTTATATAACAGAGAACTGTCTAGTGCAATGGACATGTTCTTACACTAAAATTTGGTTTTTAATTCCCTGAAAGACTGAAACTTTTGTTTTATCATCAACCGTGCACCTATAAAAGCTTGATCCAGTATTCATAAAGTTCAACAAAATAGCACTCAAACAAAAAACCCAAATGGCTCTAAACTGAAATCCGAAATCTCTAAATTTTCTATGGTACAAATATTGGCTTTAAAATCTATCCAGAGCCTGGATAAAGAGCTTAATGGGATGAGCGCATGCTTTGCATGCAGGAGGTACGGATTCAATCCTTGGCACTGTTAGGTCCGCAGGCACCTCTGGGAGCCAACCCAAGCCCAGAGCCAGGAGCAGGCCCTAGCATCATTAGCTGCACCCCCTCGCCCTCCCACTTCCAAAAACGACAGACAGGTAAGGACATACATATACATTCTAAACTACTTCTATTACTATTAACAGACGTTATTACTAGAAGTACGGACATGGGATAATTTTCCTTTGTTGATTTATAATAATTCTCGTAAAGCAATCAAAAGGAAAGACTACTCCTTTAAAGATCCCATCTGGAATAATAATCTATGATTAGAAAAGGTATTCAAGTCACTCTTACTATGCTTTCTTATACTGCATCTTTCTAATGCAAGTCAAGTAAAAACTCCAACTCTTCCTCTGCTTGATTTTGCTACGATGAGCGAGGAGACAGCCGAGACCGCATCCATATCCAGGACACCACTGTGACAGAAATTAAACCCTTGGCCACATGGGCCACATTTCTGGCCCTTGTTTATTTTTTAATTTTCTTTTCTTTTTCAAAGAGTATTACCTTCTGCTAAAAATCCACCCTTCATGCACAGTACAAAGATGGTACAAGTAAATGTTTATCACTCTGAAAATAGTTCAATTTAAGAGTTTTTGACCTGAAAAGCTAGCTTTTAATCCTAAAGGACTTTGCTCAGAGAAAAATCAGGATATTTCTGGCAGAAAACGAAACATTTATTTGCATTTCAAACGACTTTTATTTTCAATTTTCAAATCTCACGGATAGTAAAAAAGGAGAAAAATTATTTCCCTGATAGTAAAAAAGAAGAAAAATCATTTTCCTGTTTTTTGTACATGTACTTTGCCTATCTCATACAAGAAATATTATGAAAATCCTGCTCACTGATAAGGCTCCTAAATGCCAAGTAAACCACATTGTTTATTTATAGAAATAAGTGCATGTATATTCACTGAACTCTTGGGTTAAAAAAAAGAATCATCAAATTCTACAGCCGAGTCAAGTCTATTTTGGGGAAGTGAAAGCCTTTCAGGGAGAAACCAAGATTTGGAAACTGAATTTAAATGAAACATTTCCAAAGAGATAACGAATAATATTCTTAACCCAGATCACTAACTTGGTTATACAAATTAAGCAGTTAATTTTAAATAAAATGTTATTTCCCTATATTGCTTACAAAACATTTATGAAAATGCATCAGTTCCAAAAAGATGACCTACATTGCATTAATTTTTATTCTTAATTTTTTTTGTAGTAAATCAAGCAGAACAACTTACTTATTCCCAATATCCAATGAGCCAGCATACCACAATAAGAAGAGTATATGTTATGCTTGGAAAAAGCTTTAAAATGTCTGGATTCATACCGGCACTCTACAGAGTAAAGTTTTTCTAAAAATCATAGAGTAAAATAAAATTATACTAAATTTTTGGCATTATTTGCTTTTGAAGATGGTAATTTGACACCTGTTATAATTATGGCATTAGCCTCTAAATATAATGGTGTTTAAGCTGCCCACGGCTATAGAAACCTAAGGAAGATTTTCAGTACCATGTTATAGAATAAAACTTGAGAGTAGGGGCTGGTGCGATAGCACAGCGAGTAGGGCGTTTGCCTTTTTGCCTTGCACACGGCTGACCCGGGTTCGATTCCCAGCATACCATATGGTCCCCCGAGCACCGCCAGGATTATTTCCTGAGTGAAGAGCCAGGAGTAACCCCTGTGCATCACCGGGTGTGACCCAAAAAAGCAAAAAAAAAAAAAAAAAAAAAAAGCAAAACCTTGAGCAAGCGAAGAACTAAAAGAAATTATTTCCAGACTTGTGAGGAGTTAGTTAGCCATTACTCTACCAACATAAAAGCTACCTAATTTGCTATTCTCTCCCTTGAAATACCTTAATTCTTTTCCTATGTTACCACATTGCTATAATAAAACAAAATGCACTGAAAATCCAGAAATACTCTATAGTTTACTATGAAAATCTAACTATAAACCTACACACACCACCACCACCACTCACAGTACTATAAAGGGATGCACATTCTCCCTTTTAGTTTATCTAATTTGATCTGTGCAGCTGCCAAGTCCCTTTCCTTAGATGCCACTGCCTGGTATTGGTTATAACTGTGGCTTATGCCTATTTTCTCTGCTACTTAGTTATGACAAGTAACATCAAACCTTTGTGATAAATATAAAGAAGTACAATCAAACTTACCTGGCATTTCATATATACATATATATATATATATATATATATTTTTTTTTTTTTAAAGAATTTGCTGTCCAGGGCTGGAAGAGTCAACCTGGGTTTGATCCTTTGTACCATATACAGTTCCCCCAAGCAAGCACTGAGCACAAACAAGTGTGGCCAAAGGAAAAAAAAAAACCACACTGCTTTCCACTGCAAGTATTCCTCACCTGTTTGAACATCAATAACCATCTGATGGCCCCCTCTCATTCCTGGCCTGGTATCTTCTCCATCACCTGGAATGAAAACCAATTATTTTCTTCTATAGGAATAGAAAGTAACAAAAATAACATTCTTCTGTTATTAAAGAAAACCTATACGAGAAATGTAATTTATAGCTGTGTTTATAATAATAATAATCTTTAGGTTACTAATACAACTGGAAGCCATTTGCCATAAACCAGCAAAGTCTGCACATTCCATAAAAATATGACAAGAAGCTCTAAACTATGGAGTAACTAAGTAAACGTGAAAAACAATCACACAACTGGATCCCAGGTGCACAAACATTAATTACCACAATTAATTAGTATCATGAGTACTTTAAAGACTTATAAAATTAGTTAATAAAACCCCAGGTGTTAATCAAATTTTATATTAATAATTTTCTTAACATATTAATTTATACCAATATTTCGAAAATCAGTTCTCACATAATTAACCAAGTATTTTATTTCAGAACTGACTGAAAATGCAACAATGGCTTCTCTGTAATTCTTACTTACATCACAAAACTTAACAGACAGGTTTAAATATAATCAGTATAATCAGTATAAATTTCAACTTCTGAAGGGGAAAACTGTCAATTTATATCTACTCTTTATAGCAAACCTTACATAAATAAATGAAGCTATAATTTTGTTCCAATAGTTGCAAAAGTTACAGAATTCTACTGCCTTACTGGCTATAAACCAGAAACTTCATTAATGGAATATACTGCTTGTCTAACAACTTGCCCAGTATCAGCTTTGTCCTATATTAGAAACTGGGAACATTCAACTTTTTAGTAATTTCACTGGGATACTACTAAAAAAATAATAAAATGTTGGTTTCTTGACACACAAAAAAATTTGATGCAAAACTGAAGCTTCTCATACTAATGTGGTGTTCAAGAGCTAAATATTGAGAATTACCTTGCAATTTTTTCCCCTCTCCTTTCCAATGGCTAGGCTTAAAGTTTCAGTTCACAATCAATGAAGCTTTTGTCTTTTTCTTTCTGTCCCCCAAACCGGTCAGTACTGCCACTTCCCCTGCCCCTCGTTTTGGGGCAATACCTTGGACAAGCTTTGATGAATATAGACTAAAAAGCAAATGCTCTTAGGAATATAAGGTCCAAAGACGCATCCACCCAAAAATTTTAGTTCCAAACTCATTGTGATGCTTGATATAAAAGCATGTAAAGATATTACTTTTTTTTCTTAAAATGGTTTGGAAGGCTATATTCATTAGATCAAATATAATGCTAAGAGAAATGAATCAGAAAGAGAGGGACAGACATAGAAAGATTGCATTCATCTGGGGAATATAAAGTAACAAAATAGGAGACTAACACTCAAGAATAGCCGAGATAAGTACCAGGAGGTTCTCTCCATGGCTTAGAGTCCAGCCGCACATGCTAGGGAAAAAGGCAACTCAGATAGAGAAGGGAGCACCAAATAAAGGTGTTGGGAGGATCCTCCCAGGATGAGAGATGCATGCTCAAAGCGGACTATAGAACGAATATGACTGCCACTCAATGCAAACCACAGCACCCAAAAGGAGAGAGAGAACAAAGGGGAATGCCCTGCCACAGAGGCAGGGTGGAATGGGGAGGATGGGGTGTGGGAGGGATACTGGGATCAGTGGTGGTGGAAAACAGGCACTGGTGGAGGGATGGGTACTCGATCATTGTATAATCGAAACCCAAGCACAAAAATTTGTAAGTCTACAAATATACTTCATGGTGTTTCACTAATAAAAATTTAAATAAATAAATAAAATATAAAAAAAAAGTTAAAAAAAAAACAAAAAACCCCTCATGGCCAGAAGTAACTGGAAGACTTGAAACAATAGTAGTGCATTGGTATGAAAAGAACAGATTGTGGAAATATTTACTAAGTCAAATTCTTAAGATCATGGTGAAGATGGGAAAGAAAAATGTTAAGGACAATTTTGAGGGTGCAGGGGCGGGGTGGAGATGGAGAGGTTTAGAGAGTGGAAATTTAACAGTGCCAGCAATTATCTTTATAGTAGCACTATAGCACTGTCCTCCGGTTGTTCATCGATTTTGCTCAAGCAGGCACCAGTAACGTCTCCATTGTGTGACTTGTTACTGTTTTGGGCATATCAAATACGTCACAGGTAGCTTGCCAGGCTTTAGCATGCAGGCGGGATACTCTTGGTAGTTTGCCTGGCTATCCGAGAGGGACAGGAATCGAACCCGGCTGCGTGCAAGGCAAAAAATGCCCTACCCGCAGTGCTATCACTCCAGCCCTTTATAATATTTAGTTATAAATACTTTACAGTATTTAGTTTTAAATTTCCACAGCTTCAGATAATCCTGTTTCTACTTTTCTTATAAACTCCATTAGCTATTTAGAAAAATGCAAGATTTTTCAGGAATACATATTTAGCACTAGAATAATAGTATATAATTTTACAACATCTCTAAAAAAGCAGTTAAGATGTTAATTTGTGTGGAAACTAATCTGCTACAGGAGTAAAACAAAAAGATCTGAAAGTAAAATTTCATATAACAGAGTAACTCTGCCATCTAGTTAAAGAATGTTTTGTTTTAAATACTGGCTTTACAATAACGGAATACTGTGACTTTTGAGCTACCTGGGGATAAATGGAAACTGAAAGCAAAAATACCTACAACGTGGTAGGTAGGCTCACCTTTGGTACTTTTGGGAATGATCTGACTCCATCGTGGCTTGTATTCCTGTTGACTGATGTACTGATTAAATAAGCCATCTGTAAATACCAAAGGATGAGAAACAATTACACCTGAACAGCTTATACTTTCATTACAGAAAAAATATGTGTTGAAATGCTGAGGCCTACATTAAGGAAAACCGTTAATGTCAATAACACCACAGTACACGTTTCCACAAAATTTGCCAGCTGAATTTTCATTCTACCTACCATATAAACAGTAAAATAATAATGGGAACAACCATGCAAAAAAATTGTTTAGCAGCCACTCATATTCAAATTTAATCTTTTTCGTCATTTTTACCATTACTATATAAGAAAACTAGACAAGGAAATGGGAACGCCAATAACTGGTCTCGGCCCTTATTGCCTAAAACAAATCCTATTACAGTGTAAATTATATGTCTACATATGTCAAATGTTAACATTCAAACTGTCTTACTGCATTTCAGTCTGAAAAACAACACTACAAATTAGGCATTATCATCTTTGCTTGGGCTGGAGCAATAGCACAGTGGGTAGGCCTTGCACGCAGCCATCATGGCCGACCCGAGTTCGATTCCTCCGCCCCTCTCGGAGAGCCCGGCAAGCCTCCGAGAGTATCTCGCCCACACGGAAAAGCCTGGCAAGCTCCCTGTGATGTATTTGATATGCCAAACACAGTAACAATTGTCACAATGGAGACATTACTGGGCCGGCTAGAGCAAATCGATGAACAATGGGAGGACAGTGACAGTGACATCTTTGCTATAAGGATATAGAAATCTTTTGTTTTTCCCAAAAAACTAAGGAATTTAACCAAAATCACATAGCTCTTGAATGATTCCTGTATCATACTATGCTCTGTTATATTCCTGATTGTTTTATTAATAAATTCTTAAACCACTTCTTAAGAGTTGTTACAGGATTACTACAAGGGTCCTGGGAACCAAACTATTCATATATATCCAGTCTACCTCAAATAATTATCCAGACTTAATGCCATGCGTCCCAACAAATATTAGGTTAAGAATAGTATGGAACCCAGTCCTGGCTAATGAAAAATGAAGATCTTCTGGGACTTCCTAGGAAATGTTTCCTTATTTATAAGTGGGTACAGAGAATACATAAATTTTACTCCTCAGGAAATTTTTATAAATGTAAATGTCCAGTGAACATTTACAGACGTATGAGAATGAAATCTGGATCAGTGATTTAATCAACCACAAAATTTACCTCACACGTGTATTTTTATGGCAACAGTAGCATTTCCTTGTTTTAAAAATGAGTTTCCAAGTTGCAATGGTGGTGGGATTGGTGTTGGAATATTGAGTGTCTCTAACAGATCATCATGAACAACTTTGTAAACCACAGTGTTTATATAGTGAGGGAAAAATAAAGTTTAATGAAAGAACAAACAAATAAAAGTTAGCTCCCTGTTACAAGGACCCCACAGATTATAATTTATAAAATCCCTTTACTATAAATTCTGTCAGATGACTGATTTTAATCTGAATAAAATTTCCCTTTGCTTTGTCTATTTTCTGAAGACAAGTCTCACCAAAAAATTTTAAGTAAAACAGTCTGTTCTTCATAACTTGTACATTCTCCAGATGCTGCAACTTAGAGAAATCTCCCTAATCTTTCTTTTCTGGGTAGTTAAGAAAAGTCAATTGTAACTACTCCCTTCCACATTCAAGTCTTTTCAGATGACTTTAACTGGAAACTTCCATCCCACACACAAATTCAGCTTCTTTTTCTTTGTTTTGGGGGCATCTCAACATTCCTACAAAAAGGAGTTTCTATCAGTCTTCTCTTCTTTTTTTAAACTAACACTTACAAATGAGAATTTATATCTTAGTTGTGAAAGTAGAGGAACAACTCAAATCAGAATTGATTTCAGTGAAAGGACTCCGATCATATAATGTGCTTTCACAGGCCTTTTTGACAATTCACCAACTCTGTCCCATTACAAGACTGAAAACTCTTCAGACAAAATTAATCACGATCCTAATAATACAAAAGGCAAGCTGATAATAAAAGGCTAACAGTAAATTTAGAATTATATAGAAATAAAATTTAAGCTTTATTCAGTTCTGAGGAAGGCACAGAAAAGTATAATAAAAGTAAATTTAAGTAAAATTCCTTTTACTTAAATTTAATCACAGAAGATAAAATTATTCGGTAAAGAGAATGACTTTTAAACATTAATGCTACACAATCGCTCACTGAAAAAAGATGGCAAAAGAACAAATAAAAACAAACTGAGGAAAATCAGGAAACTGCAGGACATGAAAACTAGGAAGCAAAAATAAAGAAAATCAAAAAAGTAATAAATTCCATGTTTTTAGTAGTAATGACACTTCCACATTATTCAAACTATTTATATGACTATTTACATTAAATCAAGTTCCTTATCTTTCAAGCTGGTGTTTAAGAGTTGGATATAACTGAGGATATAATTTTCTGATTGTGGCATACTAGGGTTTACCAACTAGTTAAAACCATAAGAACTAGATATTTACAGGAACTATGTATGTCTGGCTGACTTCACCTTATGGTTATCTTAGAGAAGTTTCCAGAAGCATATTTTCAGCCATGTGAGGTTCTCAAAGTCAGATCATTAGGGAAAGATCAATTTGCATTCTGAGTAATGCTGAGAAGAAATCAGGGGAAAACCGCGTAAGGAAAAACCTTGTTCTCCCAGAATGCAGCCCTAGTTCCTGGCCCACAAGCACCTCCTTCAAACAGAAAACATTCATTTCACTGCAAGATTGATAATACTAGCAGAGAATCAACACAAGATTTACACAGATATAGACAGGAAAGAAAGATACGTATGACTATTGAAACCATGTTACCTAAACTACGATGAAAACTTAAGAATAAAAAAAAAATTGACAAATGACTTAAAAGAATAATACAAGAAAACTAGATGAAAATGACCACTTTTCTATGAATATATTGTTCAAAGGAGTAAGGAATCCTCTCAATAAAATGAATTGAAATTAAAGAACAAAATAGCTGGAGAATAGAAATAAAAAAAGTAAGTAGGACAACACAGGAAATCAATCCTAAATTTTTAGAGTTGAAGAAAATAAGAAAAATTGAAAACATGACAGATAAAAGCCAAATTTTTTTAAAGAGGCCCAATTAATAACAGTAATAAAAATAAGAAAAGATAAACTTGAAATTTTAACATAACATGGTTTGAGGAAAAAGTATTGAGAGATTTTAAGTACGTTAAACAGAGCACATTATTTCCAAACCAAGGAAAGACGAAAGACTGGGGAGACAGCTCAAGTGTTACTACTGCACATGCCTTGAATGTGGGAGTTTGATCCCTAGCACCAACATGCCCCTGGTGGTCCCCATGCACTACAGTTGTGACTCTGGTGGCCTCCCAAAACCAACAGTTGCATGTCCTAGGTGTGGCCTCTATTTTTAAAATGGGGTGAAGTAAAAATGTTAAACGTTGGGGGGGGGAAGAACAGACATATTCATCACTAACTGCATCACACAAATGAAATAACTATTCTAATTGAAAGGCGGCAATTATCTTCTTAAAAAAGTGCAACTAGCAGGAGCTGGAGCAATGGTACATCAAGTAAGGCCCTTGCCTTGCAGATGGCTGGCCCAGGTTTGATCTCCCGCACTGAGTGCAGAGCCAGGAGTAAGCCCTGAGCACAGGTGCCAAAACCAAACAAACAAACAACAAACCAACAAAAATAGTTCAAAAACATTTCGACTAACCTGACCGCTGGAGTTCTAGCACAGATGGCACAGCACACCCTGGCATAGGAAAACTCCTTTTCAAAAAGTTAGAAACAGATTTGAAACTTAAATAAGTGTGACTGTGGCCAGGATACAGAGCAGGGGATGGGGCTGAGGGTGAGAGCACTTGTCGTGCATGCCCTGGTTTCACTTCCCCATACCAAATACCCTCCCTGCAAGCACTTCTTGGGAGCACTCCCAAGGACAGAGCTGAGAGTAGGCCTCTAAGCACCAGTGGGTGGGAACTGCCTCAAAACCAAAACAAGTAGCTATAATTAAAACAGGACAAATATTTTCTAAATACTTGACCTGGTAAAAGAAGATTCTGTGTGCATGTGTGTGTGTGTACGTAGGGCTGTGTGTGTGTGTGTGTGTGTGTGTGTGTGATGAAACTGAGTCCCTCATACATGTGAAATACATTATCACTGGGCTATAACTCAGTGATAACAGAAGTAGCTATTAAGGTAAGTTCATTTATACTTTATGGAAAAAATGTTACTGGAGATGAAAACATACTTCAAAAAGTATTTCATTCAAAGTAGTGTAATTTAAAATCTGTATAATTCTATGAACATGGCTTCAAATAAATAAATGCTGATGGACTATAAGCAGAAGAAAATGACCGAACATTCAACAGAGTATACATGAACTGAGTAGGAAATGTTTACACTTTTTTCTCAGCAAACAAGAGATTAAGGCAAAATTATTATTTATCAAGATTTATTCCTTCACGCCCTACCAAGGTCACAAGTTGCCCCCCACGAGCGGCTCTCTGGCATGGCCATGGCTCCAGAGGCACAAGGACTTAACGCAGAGCCTTGCAGCTTGCAGCAGAAAAGTGAATGGACTATGCGTTAATCCACAGTACCATGCCTCCCTGGGAGGGAAGGGGTGTCGCTCCCTTCCGCCTTTTTCCACCGGGGCAGCAAGATGGTAGCTGCCTCGAAGCTTATAGGAAAGCCAATAAGCTTTCCTATAAAGCTGGCAGTGACAGGCCAAAGGCAACCTCACGGGAAGTGGGGGCGTTCCCGGCTCGTCCTTCACGCCCCACTGAGGTCACGAGTTGCCCCCCACTAGCGGCTCTCCGGCACAGCCATGGCTCCACAGCCACAGAAACCAATCTCTTAAATATCTGACTCTTGGCAGAAATCCCTCCAGACTTAATAAGTAAAATATCAGAAATCCCAAATGGTTCTCATAACCAGCTATAAAAAACAAATTATTTCACAATGCTTTTTCAGCAGTTCTGATTGTTGGGTGGAAACTCTAAACAACAATGGTCCATC